CTCTTGAATCATATAGTCTATCCAGTAGAAAGTGGAAAATATGGACACATATATATATATATATATTTTTATTTTTTATTTTTAAATGCTCTACATGAATACATTTAAAGGTTATTCAAGTATAAATGACCAAAGTTACCATAGATTGCTAATTATCATAGTACAGAAGATTCAGGTAACTTTGCTAAATTACCGTTAGCTTTGCAACCCTAGTTTTGACAGAGAAATTCTCTTCTGAATAAAACCGCTGTCCGCTTCTCTAAATTAGGTGTTAGAAGTCTGGTCAAAGTGTCACATAGCTGACTGAGAACAAAACACTTTTTCAAACAAAAGTTGCTAGATTTCAACGCCATCTCTGCTATTTCCGATGTATATTTGGCAAGTCATTTACTTATTATTTGTAGGGTAATTTATCGTAATGAGTAAGCCTTGGGCAAGTTTGCCTTTTCCAAGCCAGAAAGCCCATAGTAGGTACTGGCAAAAATTGGGTTTTATGTACTTACTAAATTGAATTGAAAAAACTAGGACTCCACTGAATTGACGTTCTGCACCCACAGTCATCCTATGCTAGATTTCACTGTTCTGCTGCAGCACCAGGCGACCATGGGCGACTTCTCACTCAACCACCAAGGCCTATTACAGCCACTACAAGATGATGGAACTGTACCGAACGGGCATGCAGGGCACGTGCCCCGGGGCCCCCAACCTCCAGAGGAACCACCAACCAAAATATTTTTGAGGTTGGGGGCCTCCCAGATAGCATATGATAGCAAAATGTGTAGAATTGCAGGAAATTAGCTTTAAAACTGCAAAATTATCTCTCAGCCTCATGGCAAAATATGTAGAATAGCAGGAAATGAGAACAATATCATGAGATAAGCTATTAAACAGAACATTTTTCTCTCTGACCTGTCGCAAAATGTGTAGAATTGCAGGATATTAGCTTTAAAACTGCAACATTTTCTCATAGCCTCATGACAAAAATGTGTAGAATAGCATTATAAAACTGCACATTTTTTCTACACAAAACGTATTGTAATGCATGAAGTTAGCTGTTTTCAAACCCCAAAAAAGATGCCCCGGGGCCCCAAATTAGGTAGTCCGATCCTCCTTTCACAGTTGCACTCTTTTGCGAAATCAGTTCTGCAGAACAGAGCTTGGGAATGGCAGTGACTAGGACCCAATGTGACTGAATAACAGCAGTGATGTTCTCACTGAGAGTGAGAGAGAAAGATCTTATCGGTCATTTTAGCCAGAAAAGGAGAAGACATTGGTTCCTTTTTAAGGGTTAGGTAATCTACAGATAGGGCTTCATTTTAACAAACTCATAGTGTGATGAAGAAATCGAAATGTTTTATCTTTCTATCGTGAGAACAGGGTTTGAGTCGACCGGCTAGGCAGTTGTTTGTTATGTACCTTGAATGGACATATCAAACTCTGGGAAACGTTATTTCATAGTTTATCTGTCATTGATGTGCTATTGTTCTGTTATCTATATATATATATATAACATTACAAATGAGAAACACTGTAAAGTTTGCTAAATTGTGCCAAGAGAACATCATTTGGTTAATCAGAATGCCGTAACGTTCTAAAACGTTTTGAATGTTCTTTAATTGAACTGTTGACCCTTTTGGATCTTATCTCAAAGACCGTTTCCCAAACATGACAAAGAGGTGGAAAAAGTTTCATTTTTTGGCGGACGGGTAATGTGATTTGAACATAATTTAATAAACAATGAATGATAGACAACTTAAATATGTCTAGTATAACTTATTTTTTTGTATTATCAAATAGTTAGCAATATTTCACCTTGTGAGTGAGGTACACACACAATAGTGATTTTTTAAATAAACATTTCAAGCACCCTGTCCTATAGTTGACCCGTGGAGTAAGGACCTCCCCAAGGTGTGACTCCTGCATGACACTGCACTGATTAATCAAAGCAGAGTGCTCATTGGGTGGGGTTACCACAGGTCAATGGTCTCTACTCATCACCACCGGCCCAACCAAGGAAGAGCTGGATCAGCAGAGCGGGCACTTCACTGGGCGTGGCTGCTTTAATGTCAAGGGAGGCTCTGTCCCAATATATTCACACTAGCATACCATTTAGTATGAAGCAATGTATTGAACATGCATTCTAAGTGGTATACTTAGTATGGGTATTGCAATGTGGCCATTTTCTTAACTACATTCCAATAGGTAACCAACTTTGGCAAACATCAACTCATTTCTTATAGAGGTAGAATTGACCCTTGCTAACTTAACTGGGTGTGGCTGTCCCTGCCATCGCTCTCCAGGACAGCAGAGCAGATACTGTGGCTGTCCCTGCCATCGCTCTCCAGGACAGCAGAGCAGATACTGATGGGCAAGCAAATGGAGCAGTGGTTCAATAGCTAGGGTTCAGTAGCCAGGGTATGGGGTTCAAAAGTCAAACAGAGTTCAAAGATTTGTCCCTATTCTGTCTCCACACTCTTAGAAAAAAAGGTGCTATTTAGAACCTAAAAGGGTTATTCGGCTGTCCCCAAAGGGGAACACTTTGAAGAACCCTTTTTGGTTCCAGGTAGAACCTTTTTGGATTCCATGTAGAACCCTTTCCACAGAGTGTTCTACATGAAACCCAAAAGGGTTCTACCTGGAAACCAAAAAGGTTAGACCTGGAACCAAAAAGGAACCCTTTTTTCTAAGAGTGCATCCATCCACCAATGATAAACGGACTTATTATTTCAACATTGAGCGTTCTCATGTTCAACCCAACTTTCATGAGTCATGACGTTTCACAATGCAGTTTACAAAGGAGCATGAGGTAGTGATTAATATCACTACTTTCTATTCAATTCAGATGGCTTATACTCAGTCTCTTTAAAAATGCCATTAACAACAGAATACTTTATTTTTAATTTTTATATTGATTAATTCAATTCAGAAAGCAGCATAAAAACTATTAAAGTAAAGCAGTGGCAGTCTGGTCTGGTGGTAGCGCTGCAAAGTTGAGACTACACATTGCCCCTTTGGGCATGGGTTCGAAACCCGCTCTGCAACCAGCAACTCAATCTCATTCTGATCTATAACTATACAAAAAGGAAGAAATACTCTCCTTCGAAACAGTACAAAGTATATAGGCTATAGGTCCCTCAAATTCAACTCTTGACCTCGAAGCACTTCCACTGCTTTTTTAAATTGTTCCCCTCTAATCAGGGATGGATTTAGACCTGGTACACTAGTGGGTGCAATTCATTATCAGGTACATTAGAAAACCAGCAGGCTCCGGACCTCGTAGGGTAAGAGTTGAATACCCCTGCACAGTAGAGGAGGCTGGTGGGAGGAGCTATAGGAGGACAGGCTCATTGTAATGGCTGGAATGGAATAAATGGAACGGAGTCAAACATGTGGTTTCTATATGTTTAACGTGTTTGATACCATTTTATGGTTTCCATTCCAGTCATTATAATGAGCCCATCCTCCTATAGCTCCTCTCACCAGCCTCCTCTGATGCACAGCTACATCCTTTTTAAACACTGTTATTGGAATTTCAGGAATGCCATGCCTAGCATAGGTAGTGAGCAGTGGAGGCTGCTGAGGGGAAGACGGCTCATAATAATGGCTGGAAATGAGCGAATGGAATGGCATGGAACCCATGTGTTTGATACCATTCCACTGATTCCGCTCCAGCCATTACCACGAGCCTGTCCTCCCCAATTAAGGTGCCACCAACCCCATGTGGAAGAGTGGCTCAAATGCCTAATTCTGAGATCACATACTGCACAGGGCTGGGCTACTGTACACTGGAATGGGTTGCTGCTGCTCTCTGCTGGTGTCTTGGTAAATATAAGCCAGGACAATTACCCTTATTTCTATTTCTGGTGTGTTTTTATTCTACCTTGTTATTTTTAGTGCTAAATTGATATTGATTACTGCATTGTTGGGTTTGGAGCTTGCAAAAAAGGCATTTCACTGTACCTGTGCACTTTACATTCAAACTTGACATTTTGTGATGGTTTATTATCATCATAGTAAGAACAGCCAGTGGTGCTAGAGGGGAAACAAACAGAGATAGTTTTACCACACAATGTCATGTAGAAGTATACAGGGATTCTTTACCTAGTCAGAATTTATTTTGAATGTAGTTTCATGGGTGTTAGTTTTATTTCCTTGTTGTATGTGTATTGTGGCTTTGCTTTCATTATGGTGAAATCCATAATTGAGAGGACAGCATAATTATTCTTGCAAAAGCGTAAATATTTTGCAACTTTGCTTGCAGCCTTGCACAGATAGGAGACACATCAGAGACTAATATTCTAGCCGAAGCTACTAATATCAGATACATTTTATTTGATAATCTTTGTTAATATTCATACAACTTCTCCTCCAATCCACTAGGGAGGGTACATTACCGTTTCTATTCACAGAACACATATCCTGCCTGCAACGTCAGCATATTTTACCAGCTCTCTGCAGCTACCTGGAAAAGGCTGTCAACAGAGAAGTTGGAAAAACTGCAAAAATGGTAAATAAATTGTCATCATATACTGTCAACATGAAACATTTTATGCTATTACTTGTCTTATTCGCTTCCATGTCTGATGTTCGTTTCTTTGTAAATGGATGACGTTGGATTTGTGCCGTAAACTTTCATCGGTCAGCAGAATGCTAGCTGCAGGCTAGGTTCCAGCGTGGCGATATGGCGCTCAAAGGCCTTACTTCGACATTTCCTAGTTATTCCTATTAATAAATGATGTCATGCCAATTGCATAAAAACGTGTTTGTTGTTGATATCGGCCTGCTTATCTTCCATGACAATTAAACTGATCATGGTGTGAAGAAGTTGTCCGTCGATACTCTTGCTTGGAAGTCCTAGTTAGCTAGCAAGTTAAGTTTGCAAGTTGGCCACCAGTCTGAAGAAAGTGTTTCAACAGTCCTAGTTAGCTGTGCCATGGAGAAGTTACACTGCAGGAATATTTATTGCACGTTAGCTGAGTGACACCCCTGTCACCAGAAATATGCAATGGCAGCTGTCTCACATCTCCTCTCCACAGGGCTTCGTGAAAGTAGTGAAAAGTAAGGCGTACTTCAAGAGATACCAGGTGAAATTCAGGAGAAGGCGAGGTGAATAATAAATAAAAAAATTGTTGATGTAATGCACATGTACTCCCCCTTTGGCGAACCACTGTCTCAATAGATTCTAGAACAAACAGTGTTTTAATTGGCTTATTTATTTTAATGGTGAATGCTGGAATACTAACCAGTTGTCAACTTGTGTGTTAAATTAGCTGCTTCTTGATGATGATTCCAAGATCTCTGAGCAATTTGTAGTTGGTCCTTCATTTGCAACAGCTGATGGTTTTTGTTCTTTCAAGATAAGGCTGAGAGAAGCAAGATTAATTAACTACTATTCGATGTGCTGAAGATAGGAAATAGCCAATTCCTAGACTATTGGCAAATGCTGGCATACTAACCAGTAGTGTGATTTGTTTTTGACAGAGGGGAAAACTGACTACTTTGCCCGTAAGCGCCTGGTCATCCAAGACAAGAACAAGTACAACACACCCAAGTACAGGATGATCGTGAGGTTCTCCAACAGAGATATCTGCTGCCAGGTGAGTGCTATGGAGGGCTGCTGTGTATAGGCTTGGTGGGATTTCAACAACTATTTAGATATGGAAACCACATCCTGGCCCTCACTACTTTTATCTATTTCTTCAGATCGCCTACGCCAAGATCGAGGGAGACCAGATTGTCGGTGCTGCCTACTCCCATGAGCTGCCCAAGTATGGCATCACCGTGGGACTGACAAACTATGCTGCAGCCTACTGCACAGGCCTTCTGCTGGCCCGGAGGGTAAGGGTCACACACTATGGCATGCTAACACACATATTGTATTCATACACATACTGAAGTCTCATACAGAGAAGAATGCATAGCTACATGCACGTCATTGTGCAATCCCATAGAGATGACTACATATGCGTGAGCGTACAGACTCTGGTTGACAACGTCACTGTGATTCAACTGGCAAAGGATTTATTTTTAATTTTTTTAAGGGAAAGGAATTGATGTCAGGGGTTTGATGAATTTTGACTAACACCTTCCACCACATCCTGTACCAGTATCATTGTGCTGACAAACCAAGACAGATCTGACCTGTGTGGACTTCCCTTTTCGTGTATAGTTTTCTGATGCTAGTACAAGCTTATCATTTTGTTGTCTAATACACTGAACTATTTGTTTTGAGGGGGGGGGTAATCTGGTGTGGGCATATTCCTTACCTGCTTTGACAGTCGGCTCAGTCTGATGTCCAACAGCACAGTTAATGCAACACATTTTCAGTTTAGCAAGCTTCTATTCATTAGACGATGTGAATTGTCAAAAGGGGTTGCTGCTGAATGTTAGACTGCATTTCTCTAATGAAACATCTTTGTCTCTCCTCAGCTGCTGAACAAGTTCGGCCTGGACCAGGTGTACGAGGGCCAGGTGGAAGTGACCGGAGATGAGTTCAACGTGGAGAGTATAGACGGCCAGCCAGGGGCCTTCACGTGTTTCCTAGACGCTGGGCTCGCCAGGACGTCGACAGGAAACAAGGTGTTCGGAGCACTAAAGGGCGCCGTTGACGGTGGCCTCTCAATTCCTCACAGGTTAGTTAGTGATAGTTCGAGATTTTGGCAATTAAGTTATTTTATCTACTTCCCCCCCCAGTCAGATGAACAAGGGATACCATTTTTATGTCTCTTCGTCCAGTATGAAGGAAGTTTCTAACAAGCGTCAGTGCAATTGCTAAGTAGCGTTAGCTAGCATGCTAGCTGTTCCTGAGATTACCAGTCATTGTGCTAACGCTGGTTAGCATTGGCGCGCAAAACTAACTTCCTTCATACTGGACGCAGAGACACATGGTATCTGAGTTTATCTGACACTGGGGGAAGTAGGTAAATGGCTTCATTGCCAAAATCATGAACTATCCCTTTAAGTGCAGCTGTATCCCCTCTTTTGCCCATCTAGGACCTGAAGTGTCCTATATGACCAACACAGAGGGGTACAGGATGATAGTTCTCTCATAAACCTGTAGTGAAGGCTGAACTCCTCACTGCGGATCCTGTCGGGAGATACAATGTGTCCATGTCTCTTCTCTTGGTCTTCGCTGTGGAAATGTTTGAATAATGAATGGCCAAGACCAGACCATCGGCCCTGTAATAAGCCATGGCCTTTGTCATTATAAAATGTGAATATGAAGAACGTGTTTCTATTTGACTATTCAAAGTCACTGGACACTAAATCAACCAAAGTAATCCAGTGTGGTATCACCATCGTCTCCTCCTCAGCACGAAACGATTCCCTGGCTACGACATGGAGAGCAAAGAGTTCAACGCAGAGATGCATCGCAAACACATCATGGGCATGAACGTGTCGGACTACATGAGTTACCTGATGGAGGAGGACGAAGACGCCTACAAGAAACAGTTCTCGCGCTTCATAAAGAACGGAGTCACGCCAGACACAGTAAGTCCATTGGCACATCCCACTGAGTCAGACAGTAGAAATGTAATGCCTGCCAGACTGATGGTAGTCACTCCTGGTCCTGTAATGGGAGGGTATCAGTTGGTTTGGCAATTCCTTTCTGACACGTAAAGTTGTTAAATTCACTGCTTCTTGATGATGATTCCAAGATCTCTGAGCAATATGTAGTTGGTCCTTCAATTGCGACGGCTGATGTTTTTTTGTTCTTTCAAGACGGGGCTGAGAGAAGCAAGATGAATTACCAGTGCTGAAAGGCTGTTGGATTTCTGTGACTCGTCCCAAACTGCTACCCTACCCGTCTAAACAATGTGTTGTTCTTTCAGGTAGAGGAGATGTACAAAAAAGCACACGCCGCCATCCGAGAGAACCCAGTACACGAAAAGAAACCCAAAAAAGACGTCAAAAAGAAGAGGTGGGTTTGTCACCGTTGCTGGCTATCCACATGGGAATGCTTTGAAATTGTGCATTGGGGTAGTGCTTCTTGATGATGATACGAAGTACGCTGAGCAAAATGTAGTTGGTCCTTCATTTGCAACGGCTGATGTCCATTGTCCTTTCAAGACGGGGCTGAGAGAAGCGACTGTATACTGTAGATCCACTTATAGCATCAACATTGAGCGGTCTGCCATTAATCTTGTTTATTGTGCTGATGGGTAATCGGGGCATTGTTTTCTGTCGCAGGTGGAACCGTGCCAAACTTTCGCTGGCACAGAGAAAGGACCGCGTCGCCCAGAAAAAGGCCAGCTTTCTACGAGCACAGGAAGCCGAGGCAGCGGACGGTTAGAGGGACGGGGACCACTGCCCGTTCCAAAGACACACCACACCATTGGCTTAATAAATGTATTGCAAATGACGTTCTTCATCACTTTGCTCTCTATGGAAACACTGCCCGTGTGTGGTGTGTCTTAACGACATTTTGGGGAAATTCTGGTGTGATTGAATGATAGACCTGATAGATTCTCATGTTTTCCATTTTTAACATCTTAGTAACCTTTTTTACTAGTAATTGAGTATGACGGAACGTATTAGGTATTACATTTCCTCACTCAGTCACTGCACACTACAGTCAGGATAATCAACAACTCAGCTGACAAAGAAACTAAGATGAGACCACAGTGAGTGGTATGTGGTTTTATTGTGCAAAATCATGCTGGTTCAAACTTCAAGGAAAACATACATCTATATTGATACAATTCATCCGGCAACAGCAGCTATGAGCTTCAGCTCCTTCAGAAACCACATCAGACGGGGTTTCCTGTTTAAAAGACATACAAAGTGTGACCTCCTTGTTTATAAAGGTCGCGCTTGAAAGAATGTAGAAACGGAGTCAAATACAGCAAGCATTCCATGTACAGTACCTCCTTCACAAGTGGTAGTCAAACATCCATACAAAAACGTGAGACTAGTTCCAAGTCTATTACAGTATTTTCAGCATGATCTCTTGTTTATGGCACTAGTATTCATAATACACTCCATGGTTAGTGGAAAACTACAAGTGTTCTTCGTGAGAAATGTACATGGTACACAAACCAAGCATAATGGTTCGTCATAGGCTGATTCAGCATTGCTGTATGCCAATAAACAAGTGAGGGTGGTAATGTCCAGCGACGTGGACGACTCCTGGGTGCGTCCCAATAATATCTCCTGAAGTGTACACTATCCACTATTTCCCATAAATCTAAAGGCATTGGATTAGTCGAGGTATGGACTACAGGGAGTTTCCACCATATTTCTTATACCAGTCATTTCCTTTCAAATAAGAGAAGGGAACAAGTGCACACTTAGGAGGAAGGACAATACCTTAGACCTCTATAATACTCAGTTTCTTCTGATATATTTCTTGGTCACATTGTCCATTTAAGAAACCGAAACATGCTTCAGTCTTCATATAATGTGCAAGTGTACTTCAAATGTGTAGTTCATACAACTACTAAACTACTACCACTTAAAATGTTCCATCAGTTTTTTCAAGACTCCAATGAGACCTGTCAAACAGCAGATCTACAGTTATTTTCCAGCATCCTGAACATTAATTATAATTATCATTCTTCCAATGACAGTCAGCAAAACGTGGTAAAAAAAACAATGTAGTATGTCTAAAATGAACGATCCACCCAAAGTGGTAGAGTTTTTGTGATTCACCCATTTTGAATGTTATATTGTGTGTATTTCTGCCTGCTTGAACAGCAATAGCTCAGATACACGTGACAACATGAAATGACCCCGGGAATCCATAGAATATTGCTCAGAGATGCACAAAAACGATATAACATTCAAAATGGGTGAATCTTTCCTTTAAGTATTTGAGTCAGGTCTTTGAGGACTTGGTTGTGTTGTCCCCTCATCACGAGTCTTTAGTATGGGAGATCTGTTTCCACAGCAGGGCCTTGAGGTTGTTCAGGATCAGGGAGTGCTCCATGTCCATCTGTCCCGCCGAGCCTCTGAGGGCCATGCAGGCGTACAGCTGTCTCTCCAACTCCTCCCTCAGCTCTGATGGCACCCCTCTCAGAAGGTAGTCCCTCAGCGCCCCGCATGCTTTGGCCAGGTTGGGCTGGGTCACCTCCTCCCTGCATCGTCTCTGAGCCACATCGCACGATGTCCGGCAGTCCGTCCCCAGCACACAGTCGTCGTCCTTCTCGCAGTGCAGCGAGCGCATGGTTTGCCGGAACGCGTCCTCGGAGACGATGGCCCTGGGGTCGGTGAGGCGGAGGTCGTGGCGGTCCGTGTAGCCAAAGTGATCGGCGCTCAGGTCGCACATGAGGAAGCTGCCGTAGGTGCCGTGGAAGATGTCCTCCACTAGCTCCAGGAGGCCCATGGAGATCTTGGCCTTGCGGGGCCAAGAGGGCGTGAACCACTGGTCCATGCTGCGTCGGGCCCCACTGGGGACCCAGGCCTCCAGGGGCCAGGGGAGGCTGACACCGTACAAGGGGCCGTAGGGGACCCTCTCGGTCACGTACAGGTCCCCACAGAAGCCCAGCAGCCGGGGGGTGTGGCCCCGGTCCTGGAGGAGCAGGCCCAGCAGCACCTCGTCCAACTGGAGAAGAGCCCAGGCTGAACGGGCCTCGGGGAGGGAGACGTGCCCGTCCTTATTGCCGTCGGCGACGGTGAGGATCTGGGTCACCAGGCTGGCCAGGTTGGCCTGCTCGCCCAACTTTGACTGGAGATGGAAGGATTGAGGGAAGGGGAGGTAGGAGGAAACGAGAAAGAAGTTAAGCTGATGACCTTATCCTCAATCTGGAGATTTTGGTAAAACTGCTAGTGAAATGACAAAATCCCTTTCAACAAAGACACTAATTATAGTTGTTATGCTATACTATGCTGATGATGTTGCCATTGTGACACAGCATCTGCTAAAGTCAAAGCAGCAGGAGTTCCAAAACCTTCAGGTGGTTGAAGACCATCTCTCTGAACTTCTCCACAGACGTGCCGCGGGTGGGTTTGTCGAAGACTGCAGCCTCCTTCCTGGGCTCCGGCTCTTCTCCCAGCTCATAGTGCAGCACCTCCCCCACCCGGCAGCGGATCACCCCGTCCAGGTCACCCCAACCACCTGTGTACACCTGAGGGCCCAGGCAAGGGGAACGATGAGGACAACCAGACCCAAGTTAGTGGAATTACATTATTATACACCTACAGTCGATAAGAAGAACCAATGGTTCTGACTTATTCTTCTGGTCTGATTATGTGTGGAAATACTATAGTGAACTTCTACTAAAGACACCACACCCTTCAATAAAACCATTGGCTACATACTGGCACTTGCCGAAGTGCCTTCTTGAGTCGACATTAGGGCTGTAAGTCCGGGTCGTAGTAGGTTGTCCCTAGATGCACTGATCTAAGGTTGATTTTCCTGATCCTGGATCTGTACTTAGTACAGACCAAGACAACGTGTCCAGTACAGGGCTAAATATTTTGCTGTGCGACCTGGAATTTGTATTTAGGAGCACCAGTGCGGCTAGAAAAATTAAGGATTCTAGCTTTATTATCTCAAATATGTTTCATTTTGCTCCTACATTTCTTTGTGTGCGCCTACATTTTTCAACTTAGGCGCAAACGTGCTCCTTTGTTAAAAAAAAGGTAAGCGTAGAGCCCAGCAGTACAGTAACCCCTGCAGCTCAAAGGGAGGGTCATGGTCTGTTACCTCACCTGGTGTTCGGGGCTGGTAGAGAGACATCTGCCCAGGTAGAGGGTGTCTTTGTCACAAAGGCTGCTGCAGGCCGAGCCGTCGATGATGCCCCTCCTGTATTTATCACACTGAGAAGTGGAGAAGGGTTGGTGTTAGTCTCTTCCTGTCCATTTATTTACTCAATACAACAATATGCTAGGTATTACAAAGTCAGAACCATAGAGCATAGAGCTAAAACAAGATTGCAGACTGCTTGTGACACGGATTTGAATCTTAGTGACCTCTCTATTGTTTTTATTTCTATGGTCAAAACAAACAACACTTCACTTAAGATGAAAGTGAACTGCTACAGACTGCCCAAAGACCTTTCACTAACTTCTTTCTCTGTTTGACGCTATCATGCTACATGAACACTGGGTGACAATGTTTAGCCAAGTAGGAATGAAATCAGTCTCGTGGTTGCTGTTTTGGTAACAGCAACGGTCCGAATGCCAAATAGCTTGTCCTTGAGCCTTTGCGTCTGTAAGCTTCATTCGCCTCAGTGCTCTAACCCTCAACGGTTGAATGAGATGGATGATGTCAAACTGTGGAGTATGAAAATGGGTGATGCCTTGTACCAGGGATCCCCAACCGGCGGCCGCAAGCCGAATTTGGCCCGTGGGTGATTTTATTTGGCCCCCCAAGTTTTCTGAGCAAAACGTTTTTTATTTCATTGTATTTTTTAAATTGTTGGACATAAAATACAGTAAAAACACCATCAAATAAGCTGCAAGTTATTTTAATTTGAGAAATCTGTTCCGAAGTATTCCCATAATTCCGCATAATAGAGAGATATATGTGATTGTATACAAATGTAAGCAAGGCTTGAAATGATTATATTTTAGTCAAATGTTATATCTGTTTGGGCTTCTAGTTGATGATTCTACACTACAGCAGTGCTACTACTACTACTACCACCACTTGCTCCAGTACCACAGTAGAACTGGGTCGTGGTCTAGCAGTTAGTGCCGCCGATCGTCCGCCCCCATATTGTGTCATCATTCCAATCTGGCCCACAGCCTGTTTGACACACTCCTCCTGTCATTCCTGTCCAGTGGTGGAAAAAGTACTGAATTGTCATACTTGAGTAAAAGTAAAGATACCTTAATAGAAAATGACTCAAGTAAAAGTGAAAGTCACCCAGTAAAAGTCTAAAAGTATTTGGTTTTAAATGTACTTAAGTATCAAAAGTAAAAGTAAAAGTATAAACCATTTCAAATTCCTTACATTAAGCAAACCAGACGGCACAATTGGTCTTGTTTTTTTTTATTGACGGATAGCCAGGGGCACACTCCAACACTCAGACTGAATTTAGAAACGAAGCATTTGTGTTTAGTGAGTCCGCCAGGTCAGAGGCAGTAGGGATGACCAGGGATGTTTTCTTGATAAGTGTGTGAATTGGACCATTTTCCTGTCAAAATGTAACGAGTACTTTTGGGTGTCAGGGAAAATGTATGGAGTAAAAAGTACATTATTTTCTTTAGGAATGTAGTGAAGTAAAAGTAAAAGTTGGCAAAAATATAAATAGTAAAGTAAAGTACAGATACCCCAAAAAAACTACTTAAGTAGTACTATAAAGTATTTTTACTTAAGTACTTTACACCACTGTTCCTGTCCCCCCTACTGACCGTCTATCAATAAAAGCATAAAAATATGAAAGTTCCCACTCCTAATAAAAAAATAAGTGGATCATGGATATGATATGACAGATGTGTCCGTACTCACTATGGCGTTCTTGCACTCATGTCCTCGGCAGAGCTCAGTGTAGTTGGAGTACTGGACATAGATCACCCAGCCCCCCACGAACACTGTCAGCCAGGTGAGGAACAGGTATTTCACCCGCACAAAGGAGATGCGAGCCTGCAGGGGTCAAACAGAGAAAGAGGGTTGGTTGGTTGCTTCATTCAACATGTCTTCACATTCCCTACCATATCATGTTGTGAGATTATACAGTGTGCCGAGTCCCTACCCTACATAGTAAACATCATACCATCTGATATAACTGATTATATCTTAAGTTCAGTTGATAGATGTTATCCGATTTTCAATGCATCAGAAACAATGGATTTTCCATTAATTTCATTATTATTTATTATTATTATTAATTTCATGATCTGGCTAAGGTGAGCTATTCTGTTATGACTTATAACAGTGGTTCCCAATCAGGGGTACTAGGACCCCTGGGGGTACTTGAGAAGAGTCATGAGACCATAGGCCTACTGGTAAAATGCACATGAGGGGGTACTCCGGGCAGAGCAAAATTCAGTTGGTGGTACAGTAACCAAAAAAGGTTGGGAACCACAGACTTTAAATATGACACATACACACGCATCTACAGTACAAACAAATGGAGCGGGAACATAAAGAACATGCCCCATTTAGCCATGAGATGGAGAAATGTGGCCAGCTTGGTCAATGGCAGTATACTAATTAGCACTTCCTAATCAACATCGTCATGTGACCAACAACTGACAGCCCAGCAGTACTGTAGTTTCCACGGTGATGGTGGCCCTTTTGAGACTAAACAACAGAGTTCTGGGGTTAAGTGTTGGTTTGATCCTAATGTAATAGACGGCTCGAGACATAGTTGTAAATCAATTGAGTTACAACTTCAGCTGTGGCACGTATCACATGACAAGATATCGGGCTGTATACAGACAGAGGCTAAGTTCCAATGTCCATATTAGCATACTACTTTTGCATGCCCAATCAGGGATTGACGTTAAGGCCTGCCCCATTGCCATGACAATACATTTATTCATACTAAGTGGTATGCTAGTGTGTGGATATTGGAATCAGACCATGTCAGAAAGGTCAACTGCGACCAATAAGATCCTTGTGAGACGACAGGGACCAATCTCCTTCGACTTTCTCTGACTTGGTATTTCTAATCAGAACTATTACCAGGGCTGGAGATTAGAGAGGTGTTGTTTTGGGATGAGAAGAATGAACAGTGACAGAGTTATGGCTTAAAGGGGTGTGAGAGAGTGAGCGTGAGAGAGAGAGAGAGTCCTGAGTTGTGTTCACCTGACACGAAATGAAAGAAAGCGATCTGAATTCTGAAACGGTGTGAAATGGGAACCAACTATCTGAACTTGTATGAGAAACGCTCGTTTCCATTTTGTTTTGCTACTGTATGCCCCAATGAACACGACCCACATCTTTCAGTGTTGTCCTCACAGAAAGGCGGTAACAGATAGGGATCAGATATTCCCCTCCCAAAAGCCTCGCTAGCTGAAGGCACCAGGGGAGCACAAGCTGCTACACTATCTGATCTGATCCCTTTAGTGTGTGTGTGTGTGGGCTAACACATACTTTAAGATACAGGGCTCTGGCAGTCACTTACAGTGGGGAAAAAAGTATTTAGTCAGCCACCAATTGTGCAAGTTCTCCCACTTAAAAAGATGAGAGAGGCCTGTAATTTTCATCATAGGTACACGTCAACTATGACAGACAAATTGAGAAAAATAAATCCAGAAAATCACATTGTAGGATTTATAATGAATTTATTTGCAAATTATGGTGGAAAATAAGTATTTGGTCACCTACAAACAAGCAAGATTTCTGGCTCTCACAGACCTGTAACTTCTTCTTTAAGAGGCTCCTCTGTCCTCCACTCATTACCTGTATTAATGGCACCTGTTTGAACTTGTTATCAGTATAAAAGACACCTGTCCACAACCTCAAACAGTCACACTCCAAACTCCACTATGGCCAAGACCAAAGAGCTGTCAAAGGACACCAGAAACAAAATTGTAGACCTGCACCAGGCTGGGAAGACTGAATCTGCAATAGGTAAGCAGCTTGGTTTGAAGAAATCAACTGTGGGAGCAATTATTAGTAAATGGAAGACATACAAGACCACTGATAATCTCCCTCGATCTGGGGCTCCACGCGAGATCTCACCCTGTGGGGTCAAAATGATCACAAGAACGGTGAGCAAAAATCCCAGAACCACACGGGGGGACCTAGTGAATGACCTGCAGAGAGCTGGGACCAAAGTAACAAAGCCTACCATCAGTAACACACTACGCCGCCAGGGACTCAAATCCTGCAGTGCCAGACGTGTCCCCCTGCTTAAGCCAGTACATGTCCAGGCCCGTCTGAAGTTTGCTAGAGTGCATTTGGATGATCCAGAAGAGGATTGGGAGAATGTCATATGGTCAGATGAAACCAAAATATAACTTTTTGGTAAAAACTCAACTCGTCGTGTTTGGAGGACAAAGAATGCTGAGTGGCATCCAAAGAACACCATACCTACTGTGAAGCATGGGGGTGGAAACATCATGCTTTGGGGCTGTTTTTCTGCAAAGGGACCAGGACGACTGATCCGTGTAAAGGAAAGAATGAATGGGGCCATGTATCGTGAGATTTTGAGTGAAAACCTCCTTCCATCAGCAAGGGCATTGAAGATGAAACGTGGCTGGGTCTTTCAGCATGACAATGATCCCAAACACACCGCCCGGGCAACGAAGGAGTGGCTTCGTAAGAAGCATTTCAAGGTCCTGGAGTGGCCTAGTCAGTCTCCAGATCTCAACCCCATAGAAAATCTTTGGAGGGAGTTGAAAGTCCGTGTTGCCCAGCGACAGCCCCAAAACATCACTGCTCTAGAGGAGATCTGCATGGAGGAATGGGCCAAAATACCAGCAACAGTGTGTGAAAATCTTGTGAAGACATACAGAAAACGTTTGACCTGTGTCATTGCCAACAAAGGGTATATAAAAGTATTGAGAAACTTTTGTTATTGACCAAATACTTATTTTCCACCATAATTTGCAAATAAATTCATTAGAAATCCTACAATGTGATTTTCTGGATTTTTTTTCCTCATTTTGTCTGTCATAGTTGACGTGTATTTATGATGAAAATTACAGGCCTCTCTCATCTTTTTAAGTGGGAGAACTTGCACAATTGGTGGCTGACTAAATACTTTTTTCCCCCACTGTAGGTATGAGGCTCCATGATGAGTCTATGTGTTTGAAGACTCGAGACATAGGCCTAGTTGTAAAATCAATTGAGTTACAACCAATAGGCTAAAGCAGTGCTTGACTTGGACTGAAATAGGTGTCGGTACTGTTTATATTTATTTACATTTAACATGTACATTTAAGTCATTTAGCAGACGCTCTTATCCAGAGCGACTTACAAATTGGATTTATGTGCAGGAACTCCTCAATACGTTTGAGCTGATATTCTATAAGCGGTGGAGGAACTCAAGCAGAAGAAAATTTGAGGTGCCGGTACTCAGGTCCGGTGATCTCCAGCCCAAGTCAAGCACTGGCCTAAAGGCTATGTCACAGGTCTTATATAATCTGACAAGAGAACGGTCTGTAGGCAGACAGAGGATGTCTGAAAAGTCATTGTGTGAGTTTCAGAGAGTAACTACCTCTACCTGTGCTTGTGCTTGTGTTTCGATGAGGAGCTGAGCGTGGGTGTGTGTGTTAATCGATGTGTTTAGTTTGCATGCAGTAATAATACTCCAGTCTAACAAGTTGAAACAGGTAAGATCAAAATTGCACATCTACTAGTCCCCTGTAGCTCAGTTGGTAGAGCATGGCGCTTGCAACGCCAGGGTTGTGGGTTCGTTTCCCACGGGGGGCCAGTATGAAAATGTATGCACTCACTAACTGTAAGTCGCTCTGGATAAGAGCGTCTGCTAAAATGTAAATGAGTACTAGCTTCCGTCTGATAAGTGAAACTGTTGCAGTCAATGAGGAGCCAAAATGCAAATTGTGTTAGCGTGATGCAACAAAAATGAATATAATAATAGGTTTAACACTTTATGCCCTTTGGTTGACCTTTGACTCGTAGACAGTTAGGGGCTCTGTCATGTGTGAGTAACATTTATCCCACAGTCCATTGCTCTTTGCTTCTAAGGGTCTACTACTGTATGCGTTACCTACAGTATGTCATTTTCACATTCCCTGGCACTGTTACGCAATAAAGGCTCTCATGATATGCTGCATCCCCTCCCTCCAGACCATGGCTAGCTCTACAGTAAAAGCATCACTGCATAAGCCAGGCCTGCCACTTAACTCACCACAGGCAACATCCACTAACACATGTTTAATAATACAGTAACAGTAAAAATTGTAATATCACCTGTTTACTGCCCAGGGTTAGTCTGTGCAGTTTACACATAGCACAGACTGTCTTTATACTGAAGGAAAGAATAGCACTTCCTATTGGCCTTGCTCAATCCCACACTGCTCCTTGCTACAGTGAGGGAAAAAAGTATTTGATCCCCTGCTGATTTTGTACGTTTTCCCACTGACAAAGAAATGATCAGTCTATAAATGTAATGGTAGGTTTATTTGAACAGTGAGAGACAGAATAACAACAAAAAAATCCAGAAAAACGCATGTCAAAAATGTTATAAATTGATTTGCATTTTAATGAGGGAAATAAGTATTGGACCCCCTCTCAATCAGAAAGATTTCTGGCTCCCAGGTGTCTTTTATACAGGTAACGAGCTGAGATTAGGAGCACACTCTTAAAGGGAGTGCTCCTAATCTCAGCGTGTTACCTGTATAAAAGACACCTATCCACAGAATCAATCAATCAATCAGATTCCAAACTCTCCACCATGGCCAAGACCAAAGAGCTCTCCAAGGATGTCAGGGACAAGATTGTAGACCTACACAAGGCTGGAATGGGCTACAAGACCATCGCCAAGCAGCTTGGTGAGAAGGTAACAACAGTTGGTGCGATTATTCGCAAAAATGAAGAAGCACAAAATAACTGTCAATCTCCCTCGGCCTGGGGCTCCATGCAAGATCTCACCTCGTGGAGTTGCAATGATCATGAGAACGGTGAGGAATCAGCCCAGAACTACACGGGAGGATCTTGTCAATAATCTCAAGGCAGCTGGGACCATAGTCACCAAGAAAACAATTGGTAACACACTACGCCGTGAAGGACTGAAATCCTGCAGCGCCCGCAAGGTCCCCCTGCTCAAGAAAGCACATATACAGGCCCGTCTGAAGTTTGCTAATGAACATCTGAATGATTCAGAGGAGAACTGGGTGAAAGTGTTGTGGTCAGATGAGACCAAAATCGAGCTCTTTGGCATCAACTCAACTCGCCGTGTTTGGAGGAGGAGGAATGCTGCCTATGACCCCAAGAACACCATCCCCACCGTCAAACATGGAGGTGGAAACATTATGCTTTGGGGGTGTTTTTCTGCTAAGGGGACAGGACAACTTCACCGCATCAAAGGGACGATGGACGGGGCCATGTACCGTCAAATCTTGGGTGAGAACCTCCTTCCCTCAGCAGGGCATTGAAAATGGGTCGTGGATGGGTATTCCAGCATGACAATGACCCAAAACACACGGCCAAGTCAACAAAGGAGTGGCTCAAGAAGAAGCACATTAAGGTCCTGGAGTGGCCTAGCCAGTCTCCAGACCTTAATCCCATAGAAAATCTGTGGAGGGAGCTGAAGGTTCGAGTTGCCAAACGTCAGCCTCGAAACCTTAATGACTTGGAGAAGATCTGCAAAGAGGAGTGGGACAAAATCCCTCCCGAGATGTGTGCAAACCTGGTGGCCAACTACAAGAAACATCTGACCTCTGTGATTGCCAACAAGGGTTTTGCCACCAAGTACTAAGTCATGTTTTGCAGAGGGGTCAAATACTTATTTCCCTCATTAAAATGCAAATCAATTTATAACATTTTTGACATGCGTTTTTCTGGATTATTTTGTTGTTATTCTGTCTCTCACTGTTCAAATAAACCTACCATTAAAATTATAGACTGATCATGTCTTTGTCAGTGGGCAAACGTACAAAATCAGCAGGGGATCAAATACTTTTTCCCTCACTGTATTTTTACATTTTAGTCATTTAGCAGACGCTCTTATCCAGAGCGACTTACAGTGAGTGAGTGCATACATTTTTTTTTCATACTGGCACCCCGTGGGAATCGAACCCACAACCCTGCCGTTGCAAACGCCATGCTCTACCAACTGAGCTACACGGGACTATCTATTTCTCTGTTGCTCTCTCACATAACTGCTTCTTATGGGCAACTCTTATATACTGAGTAAACACAGTATGTCCTTGCTGTGTTAGTGTGTTGTCAATAAAGAAGGGAAAGTTAAACTTTTTTATGACCTTGCGTTGCTCAAAATAACTAGCCAGACACTGGCAAGTGGTGGTAACCTCAGGAAAACATGGGGGGCTCAGGAATTCACACAGGGTGAAACGTCCTTTGATGTGCCTGAGAACTCATAGGTTGTTAGAGGTCATAAAGACCCTGTGGCAGACAGTATTTCACTTCGCAATCAAATAGTACTGTGCCTTTGGCAGCCAAACCTTTTGCATTGTGAAGTACTTACATGACCTGCCAACACATAGCGTTGTTGCTATGACAGTCTGGCAACATAGAAAGGGGTTTGGTGCCAGCCAGGTGGTGGACTGAGTACTCTGTAAACCTCTCAACCCACGTGTATTAATAAGTAGTCAAGGATCCTTTTATTTCTAAACTAGCAAAAACAACAGCTATACTTCATTATCTCTGGCTCTACTAAACATAAAGTGTCTGCAATCTTAGGATCTTAGAAAAGTACAGACAAAAGGTTGAAACAATGTAACTGCTTAACTAAAGTGCCTCTATGGGAAGAAATATATATAAATAAATGGATTGGCTAAGCCACGTTTACATTTCCGGTGTCTGGTCTGGTCTCGGACCACTTCGGTCAAGGCTGTTTGGATTTATGGTCGCCTCATTAATCACTGTAGCAGGCATATTCTGTTGACCCTCCTGCCAAGAGGCCACATTCTACAGAGAGTAGTAATATTGTTCTAACAACAGGGGTCTGTTCAGAAGGATGTAGTGTTACAGAACGTTCAGATAGAAATGTGTCGTGTAGAACAGATATGATTGTCTGTCAGATAGAACAGGGAATCGTGTGTGCTCTATTCATTCTGATTATATCTGCAATGTTCAGAACATTTCCCCTCACTGAATACACCACATGCTGTGTTTTAACAGATGGTGGAACAACTGTTAAGTACAGCTAAACATGGAAATATAATATTATCATGTGCTATTGAATGCCCTCAACATACCCCTACAGCCAGTAGTCAGAAATGTATTCAGGAGCTTGAATAAGTTACATATTAGCTAAGTCTCCATTACATATTTAACAAAAGCAAAGCAAGCCTGTCAGACGCTGAGAGCAATGTCAACATTACCATAGCGATGGATTGGGAACCTTTCACATCCAAGTGAGATATAATTGTCTACATTCTATCCAACCCAAAACAAACTAACAGACAAAGACAAACACACACACTGTGTGACCCACATCCTCCTCCCACTGTTGGAGGTGACCTGTTATTACGAAATCTCCAACTTGTAATTAAATATAAAACAATATTATGAAAATTGGACAGCAGGACTACATTGAGCCAATGAATTAGCCTACATTCAATAAGAGTGTATTAAGCTATATGCAATCAAGTGTAGCCTAGTGCCCTAGTCTATAACATCACATTAACGAGTCAGGCATAATTTATTTCTGCCAGTTCTTAGGAGTAGCCTATTTTTCCAAACCAAATTGACGCACTTCATGGCAGCATCAACAATTTCAGCATGCAATAATATGCATTGCAGCCAGACTATCTTTTCAATCTCTAAATGTCTAATACGTGACTATCTTCTGGCCTTACTGTGTAGGCTACTATAAAGCGAACATTTGAGTCCCTTCAGAATTGTAAGAGGCTGCACTGTGTCCCGCGTGCGTAATATTGCACGACAAAAATCACACTACAGCTGTCGATGACAGTGGCCACACGACGTCAATCTTCTTGCGGCGCGGTTGATTGTAGACTCAGCTCAGTCAATATAAATTGTACAACGGTTTAGAATTGTTACCTGGAAATAGAATGATTTATTTATCCAGGCACGTGGAAACAGACGCCTCGCCATCACAAAAATAGATCATCTCAATACGCGATGCTGGGAAAGAGAATCCAAATAAATGGAGAGTGAAGCTCGAGCGCAGAAGACGGCCCTTGACGTGTTCGTAGGCTACACAATTCAGTGCATTCCTATGCGTTCGAACAGGTTCTATTAACACTGAAAATATCCGTTACAGAGTTATTCTTAGTTCCCCTTTAGTGTAGTTACAGCCAAAGCCTTGCTCTGTACGCACGTCGCAGCGCTGCTGTCTTGCCGGTGCAGCTGCTGATCACCAGCCACATACCTCACAAGAAAGACCGCAGAAAATAATGGCGCTGTGGAGATTTTTTTTGCCAACGCAAAAGCTTTGATCTCCTCTGTGCAAAGTAATGCATAACCATCATATTCTCTATGAAGTCTTCCCTACGAAATAATTATAATTTATATGAAATCATTATACATTTATAAATTATAACTCTTCTCTCTCACTAATTCTGAATTTCATGAATGCTGGGATTTGCCATACAATTTGACTATTACAGCAGCTCGCAGTCATAAAAAGTAACAATGTTGCAGCCATTCATTGTGACAAATGTGTAACTGTTACACAATGTAACAATACACAATGGTACAGGACGACTTATTGTAACAGAAGTGAAGATGGTCCAGGGTATGGTTCTCTAGCGCTGACAAGTGGACGGTTGATTAATTCATATATTTCATTGGAATGAAAATAATATTACAAATATTAATAACTATAGGCTAGTCTACTACAGCTATACATTTTCCAAAACTAAAAAATATTCCAGAATAGTAGGTTGCCATGTCCACTATGCACACTATAATTAAGTTGTGGACTCACGAGCTGGATATGCAGTCTTGGTGAGATTAAACAATTAATGTAGATAATAATAATTGGACTGGTCCTGACAGTAAAACATAGATATTTTTTAAGTGGGTCGTGGGTGGAAAAGAAAAGTGTCCTGCCTTCATTTTCAAATGTATTAAAGGTTGGTTAGGTTGGAAGGTTGAGGGTTATCTAGTGAAAGATTATTGATATACTGCCAAGATAAATGTCTCTCCGCCCTCACAATGGGAGTCGTTGTCCACAAAGCCGCATGGCTGACTGTCTCGCTCCCGCCTTTCTTTTCTTTGGATTGGTGGATACATCTCATTATTGTTGTTCTTAAAAATATATATATTAGATGATGGTTGTTGACATCAACCGCCTGTATTCAATGGAGAGAGACGCTATGCCACTAGCCTCATTTAATGAACATGCATAGCCATCTCGAGACAACTCCGATATAAAGTGTTTTTTCTCCAAGTTGCCGGGATGTCACGTGCCCTACTTATATCAGTACACTATTAACAACTTTTAAGCAGTATGAAACTTCTATTGGATCAAATAAACCTCACGTAGCAAATAAGCCATACATTTTTTTGTTGACCAAATTCGACACTGTCTCATTGACCTCCATACAAAGCTCATTGCTTGGTGTGCGAAACAACGCTGGAGACAGATTTCCCGCCGACTTGGGCCTCTCTGTGCCATGGTTGACCGAGCGCTTCCCACAATGCACTCCCATATCAGCGGGAAATAAAAATGGCGAATGTATTAGGGGAGAATGACCCGTTTGTTATTTTCTAAACAAAATGTATAGTGTGTCATTTTGAGAGGTGCATTTCAAAGAGTCTTCCCGCTACTCAGACAAGACGCCAATCACCGGTTACGACCGAGTATTTAAATATATGTTGCATTTTGTCCCTCCTAACTGACCGAATGAGGTAACTCGCTAGTTTATCAAAATACCTTGTTATTCACTGAGGTTGTGGGTGCGCTCCAGAATCATTCCGTCTGTTATTATAGCTCGAGACCTGTCTGCCTGTAGACAACTGCTAAGACAAATTACATACCTGATGTATCGAGCTAGCCATTGAACTGAAAACGTATGTGCAGCTAATTGTATCAATTCATTATTTCATCCTGGATGCAAATGTCCAGCTAGCTAGCTAGCTAGCCCACGAAAAAAATGAGAAAGTGACGCTGCAGAGAGTGAGAGAGTTCGAACACTCCATTTTACAACCGATAAATACATTTTAGTGAAGGACTTATTGCACCAACAATGTTAATTTTCTCACATATCTAGTATGATGAGTTACTTGACAGCTGAGTTGACACAGCCTGTCAAATTCTAGGCTATTCTCTGTTGATTAGCGTACATGGCTTGCTACTGTTACTTAAAAAATATGTGATTTGGCTTTCCGTGTTCCCATTGAAAGAATCCCCTTTTAGTCTGTGTCTCAGATATGGTGAGACTCAACTGGCCTGTAGCTTCAATACAATGACAACGCTTGACAGTGACACCTATGTTTTTGGACAATGTAGGAATTAATTCACCTCTCTCCCAATACGACAGAGACTCAACGGCATTAGAGCGCTTGCCGGTCCACCAGCAGAAAGCACAATCCCATCCGCAGCAGTGCAAGACGCAAGTGTCCCTGACCAGCGTCCACCCTGCGGAGGATAGACATGGAGGGGACACGGGCAACAAGCTCGGCAACAAGTTTGAAGAGGGACAAGAGGTCCTAGCCCGATGGTCGGATGGCCTGTTTTATTTGGGGACTATCACGAAGGTAAGCAGATTTAGTTACTAGGTGGGAAGTTTCAATTTGGTGTTAATTTGGATATGTAATATAAAATGCAATTTAAGACATATCTTATGTTATTTTGCAGTAAAGGATCTTGATTTTTTTTCTCTCCCTCAGATAAATAAAGACAAGCACCGCTGCTTTATTGTCTTTGAAGATCGGTCAAAGTCCTGGGTTCTGTGGAAGGACATTCAGACAGGCAAGTAGTTATCCTGCAGAAGACATGCTGCCATGTCAAGTTCCAGTCATATTTTTGATAGTCAATGCGATGGACAGTTTTATGCTAACCTGATAGTATGTTAAACTTGCATCTTGTTGGATATTTGCCATCTGTGTAATATATGTGTATTACACTCTAAAGAAAAAAGCCATCTGCTAGTAAAAATAATGCCTTTCTATTTTCTCCACAGATATTGCCAATAGACTGTGGGCAGAATCCTTAGAATTTTGCTTTTAGAAAGTGTATAATTTATTCTCCAAGATGTACAGTTTTCTGTTAAATGTGTTAATTCATTCCGTTTGGCTTGCCCTCATTCATTCTATCTCTAGTTGTCTAGATATCCTTGGTTGAGATTTCTTCCGTCTATCTCCTCCGGGTTTATCTTTTGTAATTTGTCCCTGACCGTTAACAGACTACAGAATTTCTGGGCATACGTCAACCGTACATTCCCCACAGAGCCCGCAGACAAGCATAGGGAAGGAACTCCTCAGCCTGTGTTACTACTGTGTTAATACATGTTCATTTTATACGTGTTAATGAGTCACACTTCAGGGAGGGGCCAAGAAATGAGATGGTCATCTAGCTATGTCATCTATTAACATCTATTTAAGTTAGATGACTCATGACTGAATTGGAATTGCACATAAGCTTATTTGGTCTAAGTGGCAGAAAATGTGACAGTGTTATGTTGAACCTCAAATGGCACACCCGGTGGTATTTGAGTATGAATTCATATAAATTGGGCCTCTCGACTAAAGTCACCTAAAGTTGTAAAGTTCATATTCTATGGCCTTTGCACTGATGTTTACTGTCATTTTATTTCGTGAGGTTGCAGGTGTTGCAAAAAAAAGTGTTTATAGTGTCTTTACAAAATTACAGCCTCTTCAAAAAGGGGCCCTCCCTCTTTGGACTGGATATGAATGACAGATAACAATTTCAGTCAACTTTGGGTGAAAGCAGCATATCTTGTTTGATTGGAAGCACATGGGGTTACAGTGCATTCGGAAAGTATTCAGACCCCTTGACTTTTTCCAAAAATTTTTACGTTACAGCCTTACTCTAAAATGGATTCAATTGTTTTTTCCCCCTCATCAATCTACACACAATACCCCATAATGACAAAGCAAAACAGGTTTTTAGAAAATGTTGCAAATATATTGCAAATCAAAAACGGAAATATCACATTTACATAAGTATTTGGATCCTTTGCTATGAGACTTGAGCTCAGGTGCATCCTGTTTCCATTGATCATCCTTGAGATGTTTCTACAACTTGATTGGAGTCCACCTGTGCTAAATTCATTTTTGATTTGGAAAGGCACACACCTGTCTATATAAGGTCCCACAGTTGACAGTGCATGTGGTCGAAGGAATGGTCCGGACAGCTCTGAGACAGGATTGTGTCGAGGCACAGATCTGGGGAAGGGTAGCAAAACATTTCTGCAGCATTGAAGATCCCCAAGAACACAGTGACCTCCATCATTCTTAAATGAAAGAAGTTTGGAACCATCAAGACTTTTCCGAGAGCTGGCCGCCCGGCCAAACTGAGCAATCGGGGGAGAAGGGCCATGGTCAGGGAGGTGACCAAGAACCCGATGGTCACTCTGACAGAGCTCCAGAGTTCCTCTATGGAGATGGGAGAACCTTCCAGAAGGACAACAATCTCTGCAGCACTCCACCAATCAGGTCTTTATGGTAGAGTGGCCGGACGGAAGCCACTCATCAGTAAAAGGCAAATGTGACAGCCCGCTTGGAGTTTGCCAAAAAGCACCTAAAGGACTTTGACCATGAAAACAAGATTCTCTGGTCTGATGAAACTAAGATTGAACTCTTTGGCCTGAATGCCAAGCGTCACGTCTGGAGGAAATCAGGCACCGCTCATCACCTGGCCAATACCATCCCTACGGTGAAGCATGGTGGTGGCAGCATAATGCTGTAGGGATGTCTTTCAGCGGCGGGGACTGGGAGACTAGTCAGGATTGAGGGAAAGATGAACAGAGCAAAGTACAGAGAGATCCTTGACGAAAACCTGCTCCAGAGCGCTCAGGACCTCAGACTGGGGTGAAGGAAAGGCTTTGGGACAAGTCTGAATGTCCTTGAGTGGCCCAGCCAGAGCCCAGACTTAAATCCAATCGAACATCTCTGGAGAGAATTGAAAATAGCTGTGCAGTAACGCTCCCCATCCAACCTGACATAGCTTGAGAGGATCTGCAGAGAAGAATGGGAGAAACTCCCCAAATACAGGTGTGCCATGCTTGTAGCGTCATACCGAAGCTGACTCGAGGCTGTAATCGCTGCCAAAGGTGCTTCAACAAAGTACTGAGTAAAGGGTCTGAATACAAAAAAAAACATATCACATACATACAGTACCAGTCAAACATTTGGACACACCTACTCATTCAAGGGTTTTTCTTTATTTGTACTGTTTTCTAAGTTGTAGTATAATAGTGAAGACATAAACTATGAAATAACACATATGGAATCATCTAGTAACCAACAAAGTGTTAAACAAATCAAAATATATTTTATATTTGAGATTGTTCAAAGTAGCCACCCATTACCTTTGGCAAACCCTGGTGTAGAGGAATGACCCGTCTGTCTGTTTTTAGGGGATGAGGGAGGAGAGGACATGGTCTGCACAATATGCCTTGACGAGTGCTCCGAGGATCCCAACGAGATTGTCATCTGCGACAAGTGTGGACAAGGTAGGGCTGAATCACCATCCTAACAGTGTGGACAAGGTAGGGCTTAATCACCATCCTAACAGTGTGGACAAGGTAGGGCTTAATCACCATCCTAACAGTGTGGACAAGGTAGGGCTTAATCACCATCCTAACATTGTGGACAAGGTAGGGCTTAATCACCATCATAACAGTGTGGACAAGGTAGGGCTTAATCACCATCCTAACAGTGTGGACAAGGTAGGGCTTAATCACCATCCTAACATTGTGGACAAGGTAGGGCTTAATCACCATCCTAACAGTGTGGACAAGGTCGGGCTTAATCACCATCCTAACAGTGTGGACAAGGTAGGGCTTAATCACCATCCTAACAGTGGGTTTTCACCAACAACAAATTCAGCAAGAGAAGTTCCGCCCCCATTAATTTCCAATGAGGGCATGTAGAGAAATTGTGGGAGGGTGAGCCCTGCTAGCAGAGCAGTGGAAAAAGTTGAGCTCTACTTTATGCAAATTTCAAGCGGAACGAAGCCTTGTAGCTCAGTTGGTAGAGCATGGCACTTGCAACGCCAAGGTTGGGGTTCGATTCCCAAGGGGGACCAGTATGAAAAATGTATGCTCTGGATAAGAGCGTCTGCTAAATGACTAAAATGGAAAATGTTAGAGGAGGGTTCCGCCTCTTGTAACGTCACTGTAACTTCTTCGTCCTGTAGCGCAAAGACAAGGTTGGGAAATGATGCCTGGGACCAGATGTTTGTTGGTTCATATCCCAGTTAAAGAGTCCTTGTTTGCTATCTAGTCATTAGAGGTCCCACCTCTGGGGGAAAAAAGGGATTGATACAATAGTAATTCTCTCTGAACTGTGACCCGTCTTTTCCTTTCAGGATACCACCAGCTCTGCCACGCCCCCGTCATCGACTCCAGCCTGATCGACACAGATGAGAAGTGGCTCTGTAGGGAGTGTGTGTTCACCACAACAACAAAGGTACTTACGATACTATAGGTTTACTTAACACTGAGTGTACAAAACATTAGGAACACCTGCTCTTTCCATGACCTAGACTGACCAGATGAATCCAGGTGAAAGCTATGATCCCTTATTGATGTCACCTGTTAAATCCACTTCAATCAGTGTAGATGAAGGGGAGTAGACTGATTAAATAAGGATTTTTAAGCCTTGAGACAATTGACACGTGGATTGTGTGTGTCCCATTCAAAGGGTGAATAGCAAGACAAAATATTTTGTCTTTGAATGTGGTATGGTAGTAGGTGCCAGGCGCACCTGTTTGAGTGTCAAGAACTGCAATGCTGCTGGGTTTTTCACGCTCAACAGTTTCCCGTGTGTATCAAGAATGGTCCTCCACCCAAAGGACATCCAGCCAACTTGACACAACTGTGGGAAGCATCCCTGTGGAACACTTTCGACACCTTGTAGAGTCCATGCCCCGATGAATTGAGGCTTTTCTGAGGGCAAAGGGGGGGGGGGGTGCAACTCAATATTAGGACGGTGTTCTGCATGCAAGGTACACAATCAACACACTATAATTAAGCAATAAGGCACGAGGGGGTGTGGTATATGGCCAATATACCACGGCTAAGGGCTGTTCTTATGCCCGACGCAACGTGGAGTGCCTGGATACATCCCTTAGCCGTGGTATTTTGGCAATATACCACAAATACCTGAGGTGCCTTATTGCTATTATAAACTGGTTACCAACATAATTAGAGCAGTAAAAATACATGTTTTGTCATACCAGTGGTATACAGTCTGAAATACCAATGGCTTTCAGCCAATCAGCGTTCAGGGCTCGAACCACCCAGTTTATAATACAATACAACATAACGCATTATGAAAATACTGGAAAGTGAACCCACACATACTATCATATTACGGAACCACTGTGTGAAAATGTTGTAGTAATAGTAAGGGGACGCTCCAACCAATTGAGCTCACAGTGGGGTGTGTGTGTTCTCTGACAGAAGGGTGCGCTGAAGAACGGTCCCGAAACCCTGCAGGAGCTGAAGCAGTCTCTGCCTTATGCCCTGGAGGACCTGGTGTGGGACCAGGGCCACAAGACCAACATTCAGCAATGCTACTGCTACTGTGGAGGGCCTGGAGAGTGAGTAGCACACACACACACACCCATACATACTCATACATAATCTGTTTTAACCCTTCTCCCCTCTCTCCTTTAGCTGGTACCTGAAGATGCTGCAGTGCAACAGGTGTAAGCAGTGGTTCCACGAGGCGTGTATCCAGTGTTTTAAAACGCCCATGTTCTATGGAGACAGGTACTAAACAACCGCTCCTTTAAAGCGTCATATGATAAAAGTAATCTCTCAGGAAGCATGTGCTAAGTGACTACCTATGACATGCAAGAAAATAAATATACTCTTGTGCTTCTTTCTCACCAGGTTCTATCTATTTATTTGCTCAGTTTGCAATAGTGGACCGGAGTACCTCAAAAGACTGCCTCTTAGATGGTGAGAGAAACTTGTGTAGAATTGATTTGTGTACGAGATGGATTGGTGTGATTCACATCGAGCCATTGATCTATTGTTTCCTGTGTTGAAGCAAACAAGATAACCCACTGACACTGCATCAGTTTAACAGTAGTACAGTATATACGTATTGTTTGATGAAACTGGAGTAGCAGTCTATCGTAGTTCCCTCTAGGCAAAATGAAGCTATTTAATTATATTCCACGTCAATCCCATACTGAATCATATTGACTTTTGGCTGTTCTACACTTCCCTTCCTCGTTTCTGACCAATAGGGTGGACGTTGCACACCTGAGCCTCTACAATATGAGTGTGATTCACAAGAAGAAGTACTTTGATTCTGAGCTGGAGCTGACGACTTACATCAACGACAACTGGGAACAACTGCAGCTCGGGGAGGTAGGACGAAGCTTGACACCGTTGGGAATAGGGGTGTGAATGTTTAAACGATCACACGTTTAAACAAAATTGGGATCCTTGGCATTAAGAAAAAATCCAAGGACCAAGAGAACGGTGCACATCACTCCGGTTCTTAAATCTTTACATTGGCTTCCAGTCAGTTACAGAATTGATTTCAAAGTGGTGCTTTTAGTTTATAAATCTTTGAATGGTTTAGGACCCGAGTACATGTCTGATATGTTTGAAGAATATAAACCGAGCAGGGCTCTTAGATCCATGAACACAGGTCAGCTAGTAGAGCCCAAACTAAACATGGAGAAGCTGCGTTTAGCACTGATGCTGTACACAACTGGAATAAACTACCAGAAGATCTTAGATGTGCCCCAAACGTATCCATTTTTAAATCCAGGTTAAAAACACTTCTCTTTTCACGTGCCTACGACTGAGCACTTAAACTTAACCACACTGTTTAGCCTTATAGCTTCCTATGTTTTTATCCCATTTTTAATTTTTAATCATTTTTTTTTTTTTTTTTGTATTTTTATTATTATGATGTTTTCATTATTTTTTGATAAACATCTTTGTAAAGCACATTGAATTGCTTCGATGTATGAATTGTGCTATATAAATAAACTTGCTTGCTTGCTAACCCCCCCCCCCCCCCCCCCAAAAATATGTTTTTTCCCCACAAAATTAAAATCACAGTGCAGTTATCACAAAACATATTACTTTCTGTGATATAGCCTAACTAGACTATATGGCTCTAAAGACCTGGGGAAAGTTGTGTAATTTAAATAAAACCAGAGAGGGAGAGGCGAACTTTAGGATACTTTGGAGAATTTGCGAGGCTTGCAAGACAAGACATTGCGAGATACAGATTACCAAGACGCACGGTACTGCCTGCCCCCTCCTCTTTCCCTCACGCTGGCCTGCCTGCCCCCTCCTCTTTCCCTCACGCTGGCCTGCCTGCCTGCCCCCTGCTCTTTCTCCCTCACGCTGGCCTGCCTGCCCCCTCCTCTCTCTCCCTCACGCTGGCCTGCCTGCCCCCTCCTCTCTCTCCCTCACGCTGGCCTGCCTGCCCACACCTCTCTTTCCCTCACGCTGGCCTGCCTGCCCCCTCCTCTTTCCCTCACGCTGGCCTGCCTGCCCCCTCCTCTCTCTCCCTCACGCTGGCCTGCCTGCCCCCTCCTCTCTCTCCCTCACGCTGGCCTGCCTGCCCCCACCTCTCTCTCCCTTACGCTGGCCTGCCTTCCCCCTCCTCTCTCTCCCTCACGCTGGCCTGCCTGCCCCCTCCTCTCTCTCCCTCACGCTGGCCTGCCTGCCCCCTCCTCTCCCTCCCTCACGCTGGCCTGCCTGCCCCCTCCTCTCTCTCCCTCACGCTGGCCTGCCTGCCCCCTCCTCTCTCTCCCTCACGCTGGCCTGCCTGCCCCCTCCTCTCTCTCCCTCACGCTGGCCTGCCTGCTTCCTCCTCTCTCTCCCTCACGCTGGCCTGCCTGCCCCCTCCTCTCTCTCCCTCACGCTGGCCTGCCTGCCCCCCTCCTCTCCCTCCCTCACGCTGGCCTGCCTGCCCCCCTCCTCTCTCTCCCTCACGCTGGCCTGCCTTCCCCCTCCTCTCTCTCCCTCATGCCTGCCCCCTCCTCTCTCTCCCTCACGCTGGCCTGCCTGCCCCCTCCTCTCTTTCCCTCACGCTGGCCTGCCTGCCCCCTCCTCTCTCTCCCTCACGCTGGCCTGCCTGCCCCCTCCTCTCTCTCCCTCACGCTGGCCTGCCTGCCCCTCCTCTCTCTCCCTCACGCTGGCCTGCCTGCCCCCTCCTCTCTCTCCCTCACGCTGGCCTGCCTGCCCCCTCCTCTCTCTCCCTCACGCTGGCCTGCCTTCCCCCTCCTCTCTCTCCCTCACGCTGGCCTGCCTGCTCCTTCTCTTCTCTAGTGATGCCAGTGTGTGTTCAGTTTTCGGACTGTTGCATGTGGAATATCCTAGCCTATTTATTGATGATAGGCCCTGCTTTACTGAAGTGAGACATTGCAAGCCAAGAACTTGCAAGGTACAGCATTCCATTGCGAGGTACAGCTTTTGATTGCCGATAGATAGGCCTAGTGCACGGTTCTGACTCTGTCTGCCTAGTGGTCAACCTGCCTATACTGTGCCCCTCCCCTAGCTCTCCGTCCCGCCTAGCTCGCTATGAAAATGCAGGTGTTTGTGTTCTCGGAAGTACGGCAACAAATCAGTCTCCTCCGATCCCAAAATACTCTAGTCGATTCTGCTATCTTGACACTCAGAAATGGGATTCGATACCGGTAGTTGACAAATCAATTATTTTGGAGTCGACTCCCCACCCTTACGTCATCGTCGTTAACAGTTGGAAAGGCAATCGACAGCAGCGAAGTCCTGTATGGAAATACTTTGAAAAACATTAGCAAGGTGGAATCGAGGTACAGTAATGGTAGTACAGGTGCAATGCTTAACCATCTGAAAGGGACGCACCGTGAGACCCAAACTATTGCTGGTAGCAGCCTCCTTTTGAACTCAAATTGAATTTTTTAGTCTTATAGTTTTAATGGAATACCAATTTAAAAAATGGTAGTTTAAATGTTAAGATTTTCAATTTGTCACATCCCTAGACGGGCAACATTCATTTATAGAACTTCTCAAATATATTTTGTTTGTTTTAAATCCACTCTTTCTATGAGAACAAAAATATAAATGCAACATGCAACAATTTCAACGATTTTACTGAGTTATAGTTCATATAAGGAAATCAGTCAATTGAAATAAATTCATTAAGCCCTAATCTATGGATTTCACATGACTGGGCATGGGCACAGGCCCACCCACTTCGGAGCAAGGCCTACCCACTGGGGAGTCAGGCCCAGCCAATCAGAATGAGTTTTTCCCCACAAAAGGACTTTATTACAGACAGAAGTACTCCTCAGTTTCATCAGCTGTCCGGGTGGCTGGTTTCAGATGATCCTGAAGAAGACGGATGTGGAGGTCTTGGGCTGGCGTGGTTACACGTGGTCTGCGGTTGTGAGGCCGGTTGGACATACTGCCAAAATCTCTAAAACGACATTGGTGGCAGCTTATGGTAGAGAAATGAACGTTCAATTATCTGGCAACATCTCTGGTGGACATTCCTGCAGTCAGCATGCCAATTGCGCGGTCACTCAAAACTTGACATCTGTGGCATTGTGTTGTGTGACAAAACTGCACATTTTAAAGTAGCCTTTTACTGGCGCTCCGGTGTAATAATCATGCTGTTCAATCAGCTTCTAGAAATGCTCACTAACAGGGATGTAAACACATTTCTACAAAAAGAATGAGAGAGATAAGATTTTTGTACGTATGGAACATTTATTTTATTTCACATCATGAAACATGGGACCAACACTTTATATTTTTTGTTCAGGATATTTTATTTGACATAGCAATATATTAAATTCTAACATTAAATAAATCAGACTTTCATTTTCTCAACTCCAGCTTTCAGCCACTCCTCATTCGGACCGATATGAAAGTATTCTGGAAGCACTGAATAGCAACCACAGCATGTGAGTAACGCTCTTTCCCTATGACCTCATGATTTGTGATGTTATTATACAAATCCACCCTAATTTCTCCATCTCTTTCAGGTTCATGTCAGGGAAGGAGATCAAGAAGAAAAAGCACCTCTTTGGGCTGAGGATCCGTTTTCCTCCGGGTCCCCAGAGCTCTGAGCTGCTGGCCGACAGAGGGGAGCCAGAGGTCAAGATTAAAGACAGGAAGGCTATCAAGCCTCTTTCCAACACCAGGTGGGGACTCCGCTTTCTACTAAATTATGTTATGAGAAACTTGTTAAAAAACGAACTAATTAAAAAACATATTTTTTGCATGTTAGATATCCTGGTAAGGCTGTTTTTGGTTTTTATCAGTACTTTTGGTTGGGTTTGGTTAGCCAGAAGTTGACTGGTAAGAAAAGGTAGCAGAAAAGTGAACTATCCTTTTGTTTTCAGTAAACTATGATGACTCAATTTGACGGTGTGAATCTTGTTGTTCCAGTGAATTAACCAGTGGCATGGTGAAGAAGGCCAAGAAGAGGAAGAAGCAGGGAGGTAACTCCCTGGAGACTCTGGCCAAGCTAAGTCGCTCCAGTGAACTATTGGCCCAGGTGTGTGTTTGTTTAATACTACTTGTATTGATCGATGTTAAAACATTTGAGAGGTATGTTGTTCATCCATGTGTAATGTCTTTTTATCCCCCCTGAAGGATGTGAAGCCACCACTGCCACTGGATTCCCAGTCCTTAAGGAGGTAAGCTATCCCCAATTTTGTTTAATTTGTGACATTTTTGCTCAGTTTGTGAAACTGTTGAATGGTGTTGTTACCAGTGTCATCTTAACTCCAAGCAGCAGGAGTGAAAAATCTCTGCCCTGCTCCAGTATCTCCGACATGGAATCCATCGGTGCAGTCCGCACCACTGAAACTACCTCAACTAGCCTCTCCGGACAGTCCAGGTACATTCTACAAAAGCATTAAGGTACACGACATGGCCAAAAGTATGTGGACACCCCTTCAAATTAGTGGATTCCGCTATTTCAGCCACACCCGTTGCTGACAGATGTATAAAATTGAGCACACAGCCATGCAATCTCCATAGACAAACATTGGCAGTAGAATGGCCCGTACTGAAGGTCCTCTGTAGCTCAGCTGGTAGAGCACGGCGCTTGTAACGCCAAGGTAGTGGGTTCGATCCCCGGGACCACCCATACACAAAAATGTATGCACGCCTGACTGTAAGTCACTTTGGATAAAAGCGTCTGCTAAATGGCATATTATTATTATTATTATTATTATTATTATTATCAGTGACTTTCAATGTGGCACTGTCATAGGATGCCACCTTTCCAACAAGTCAGTTTGTCAAATTTCTGGCCTGCTAGCGATGCCCCGGTCAACTGTAAGTGCTGCTATTGTGAAGTGGAAATGTCTAGGAGCAACAACGGCTCAGCCGCGAAGTGGTAGGCCACACAAGCTCACAGAACAGGACCGCCGAGTGCTGAAGCGCATAAAAATGGTCTGTCCTCAGTTACAACACTCACTACCGAGTTCCAAACTGCCTCTTGAAGCAACGATAGCACAATAACTGTTTGTCGGGAGCTTCATGAAATGGGTTTCCATGGCCGAGCAGCCACACACAAGCCTAAGATCACCATGCACAGTGCCAAGCGTCAGCTGGAGTGGTGTAAAGCTCACCGCCCCGCCATTGGACTCTGGAGCAGCGGAAATGCGTTCTCTGGAGTGATGAATCACGCTTCACCATCTGGCAGTCCGACAGATTAATCTGGGTTTGGCGGAAGCCAGGAGAACGCTACTGCCCAAATGCATAGTGCCAACTGTAAAGTGTGGTAGAGGAGGAATTATGGTCTGGGGCTGTTTTTCATGGTTAGGGCTAGGCCCCTTAGTTCCAGTGAAGGGAAATCCTAACGCTATAATATACAATGACATTAAACGATTCTGTGCTTCCAACCTCACTAATGCTCTTGTGGCTGAATGTAAGCAAGTCTCCGTGGCAATGTTCCAACATCTAGTGGAAAGCCTTCCCAGAAGAGTGGAGGCTGTTGTATCAGCAAATGGGGGACCAACTCCATATTAATGCCCATGATTTTGGAATGAGATGTTCGATGAGCAGGTGTCCACACACTTTTGGTAATGTAGTGTACTGTAAATACTAATATCCACACTCAGGCTCTCACACATTCACATGGAAAGTCATTGTACCCCTCATAATTGGGAGTACCTCTTAAGTATTTTTCTAATCTCTCTCTCCCCCCTTTCTCTCTCCCTCTCCCTCTCCCTCTCTCTCTCTCACGCTCTCCGTCTCCCTCTCTCTGTCTCCCTCCCTCCCTCTCTCTGTCTCCCTCCCTCCCTCCCTCTGTCTCCCTCCCTCTCTGTCTCCCTCCCCCTCTGTCTCCCTCCCCCTCTGTCTCCCTCCCCCTCTGTCTCCCTCCCTCTCTGTGGCTCCCCTCCCCTCGATCTGTCTCTTCCATCCTCTCTTTCTCCTCCCCCTCTCTGTCTCTTTCTCACTATATCCCTATCTCTCCTTTCTCACTTTCGCTCTTTCATCCCTCCTCTCTCTCTCTCTCTCTCTCCTCTCTCTCTCTCTCTCTCTTCTCTCTCTCTCTCTCTCTCTCTCTCTCTCTCTCTCTGTGTCTCCCTCCCTGTCTCTCTCTCTCTCTCTCTCTCTCTCTGACTCCTTCTTTCTCTCTCTCCTCTATTCCTCTTCCACCCCAGCTTGTGTAACTCCAGTAAGACGTTCACGGGTCGCCACTGGCCCATCGCCCAGCCCCCCCTGAAGAGGAGAAGGGGCCGGCCACGACGGGCCCCCCTCCAGCCCCCCAACCCTGAGATCCCCCCTCCTCACCAGCCAGACCCCCACCACCTCCCCGATGTCCCAGAGCCCCCCAACCCCCTGCCGGGGCTCCACTCCACGGACATAGTGAACGGCCTGGGCCAAGGCGGACAGCTGTCCCACCTGAAGAGCTCAATCAGTAGCTACTTTGGAGTGGCAGGCCGCCTGGAGTGCGGGGAGAAGTACCGCATCCTAGCTCGCCGGGTCACCCTGGACGGCAAGGTTCAATACCTGGTGGAGTGGGAGGGCGTCACTGCCTCCTAAACTTGTCATAGCGCTTACGTAGTTTATCACACATTTACGTAGCTCTTATAATACGTTTACACTACGCTTATAAAGCATTATAACACTCGCCTTCTGAGATCGGGCTACCCCCGAATTGCCCGGTCTGGAAGGGATCTTGTGTTTCCAGTGATATGCTCCAGTGATATGCTCCAGTGATATGCTCCAGTGATATGCTCCAGTGATATGCTCCAGTGATATGCTCCAGTGAAATGCTCCAGTGAAATGCTCCAGTGAAATGCTCCAGTGAAATTCTCCAGTGATATGGTCTTTCTGTGACTTGTCTTTTGTGTTTCAGATCTGTTTCGGTTTTGTAAACTGAAGGGGTTAAGAGACCATCTTTGACAGAATGTAAAAGGAATGGTGTTTAGAGTGGGTTAGGTAGGGGGTGTGAATGGTGTTTGAGTGACTTTTGCGCCTGACCTGATATGTTAAAAGTGTGCCTGTTTGCGAGTAGTTGATGTTCGAGAGGGACTCAAACAACAGAGATATGATGTTGTGCTGCTGCAAACCCGTTTTATTATTGTTTATTATTAATTATTATATATATCTTTACTTTTCTACTTGTTTTTATTGATATGCCTCGGAGAGTGTCTAGTGAGGCACAGTTTATTTTTTACGATTTGGATTTGATTGCACATACTGTCTCAAGATCAGCCTGTCATACAGCAATTCTCCTGAACACGTTTTACCCAGGCTCATAAAATCATTTAGAGACAGAGATATGAAGTTTCTCTTTTCACTCTTTGGCAGCTGAAAGCGTGTAACCTGTAGCTCTAATCTGCTTCATGTTCTGCAAATCATCTCAGTATGAGTAGTGTTATTTTCACTGTGTTATAGTCCAAATCTAACGCATTATTCATTAATAACACTGGTAGAATTTGCTTTTGATGGCTGAGCTTGTGCGAAAGAACGTTAGTGACTGAATTCATGTGTCATGCGGTAACTTATGCCGTTCGGCCTTGTGTTGTTACATGTGAAAGGTTCTGAGTAATGTACCCACGTTTTTAATTGTCTTCTTCAATATATGTTCTGAAGATATACATTTTAGCTGCATTTTTTTTTTATATGCAATCATTGTACATTTAGTTTATTTACATTTATGAACCCCTCTTAAAGGACTGTTCCTTCCCTCTGTGTGCGGTTATATTTTCGGACTTTGATCAGTAAATGCAAACATTGAATGCAAAAACCTCATGGACCTTTTACTTTTTAAAAACTGAATTCAGTTCTATGCAACTTAAGTCTTGAAAAACCGTTGTTTTTTGTATTTCAATCACTTGACCGTGAGATTGGCATCAGCAACAAACCGTAGCAATATTTTGGTTACATCTGACTCAGGCCTTTTTGTTGATTTTATTTCAGGTGCTATTTATTTCACCTTTTACTCCTCAGAACTGTGCACTTAGTCAGACGTCTGCTGGTACAGCCAAACTCACCTGTAACCCACTCAGGATATGCTCAGCAACTTTACTGTATGTATGATGTGCTCATAGAACTCAAAGATTTGGATTGTAACATGTTGGGATTGATGGAACATTTTCTGTGGCGTCAGTATTTCATTGAGAAGTTAATTTTAAAGAAAATGTTGCATTCATTTATACATTCCTCTGTGACTGGTTGTTTTCAAAAGGCTGAAATTCAGTCCATTATGCTACAGTGTCACGTCTATTAGTTCATCTGAGAACATTATCTTCCTGTTGAGTTCCCTGCACCTCTGATTCAGAGGGGTAGGTTCAATACGGAAGACACATTTCAGTTGTACAACGGACTAGGTATCCCCCTTTCCCCCTGTTTCATTGTAAGAGTTCAAAAAGTTAATGCCTCTTGTTGTTGGATGTGTTTTGTTGTTCTCAGAAAATGCAGTTTTCTCCTTGAGGCAGTGGAGTTGGGTCTTGATGTTGATACCTCTTTATTAAAAAAGTACAGTTATATTTTAAGTTTTTCTTCTGTATGTTGTTGTTCCAGTGTTAGACCCCTAGATATTTTTGTTTTTCTACTGGCTTTGAGCAGGCTTCTTCAGTCAAAATAAATATCTAAAAGCCTACTGATATTGTTTCTTTGTTCTGTCACATTGGCACTTTTTATTATGATTCCAGTAAGTCATCTTGACTATTTTATTTTATTTTTTATGGCATGTTACATTTCCATGAGGTAAGACAGTGTAGAGAATTAATTCAGGTGACAGGTTATTACCAGCTAGCTAGTTAACAATAACCCAGAAATACTTGGAAGAAATTATTAAAGTATTTCTGATTTCACTCTAGTAGTTAGCTTACAGCTCAGCTGTGCACTGTATCATTATGGTCACTTGGTCATATCAGGTGCTCATCATTTAACATGATACAAGGGTAGTTTATATTTATTCAGAGATGTAGAAAGTTTTTATTCAACAGATGAATGTGACCACCCTGAAGTGGCAGTAGCCACTTGGTGCTTTCAAAACAACTGGGAACTCGGGGGAAAAAACGATCATGAAAGATGCCCGAGTTTCCGAATTGGAATTCCGTTTTTCCCAGTCGGAGCTCGTTTCTTTCGAGTTCCCAGTGGTCTTGAACGCACTGAAGTCAGAGAAACCAAGGCAAGATGGTATACTTTACAATAAGTGTTGCCTATTGTTGTAGGGGGGTATTTTCTGCTGTTAGGTGACACTTATTGTAAAATATTTCATATCTCATCTGTGTTATATTTGTTGAGATTCATAGGTTGAAGCAGAGAGGGTAGAAAACTAGCAAGGTTAGAAAACCTTTCCCATCTTCGTTGTCGACGTACGGTACACAATATACATTGGCCTACACGTCGCACCATTGCGTCATGCATTCAGTTGCGCAACTGATTATGTATCGTTTTCCCTTTATTTTTTTACGTCTATGACGTAATCTGGTCCAGAAATACATCACTTGAAAATGAGCGTGACAGGACTTCATTGGTCCGTTCTTCATCAAGGAGTCAGTCAGTCTGTAGGCCTACCATCAGCCAGGAAAGGAGACCGGCTCAGACTTCGTGCGGTCAAGTCAGTCACAGAGGCTAGTGTAGACTTTTCCACGAGGTAAATGTATGTAGATTGTAGACCACTGCAGCTGGCCCGTCAATTCGTTGCTAGCCTCCGCTCCAGGCTTCACTCAGGAGATGAAAGCCCGTGGCAGAGGCTAGGAAAAGAAAACGCAACCGCAGGTTTCTATGTAATGTTAAGCGGACACGGGGCACACGCAAGGACATTTTTCTCTGCCTCTCCAGTAAGGAATGTTAACCTTGTTGCCGCCTGAGTTTGCTAGATGTTTGATAAACGTGGTTAACGTGTTGCTAACAGGACACTGAAGATTAACACCAATAAGGATGTCATAGAAAAGTTATGATTATTAGCCATGTGGTGGTGGGACTAGGTAATAGGGTGGTTTGGGGTTAAACGGCCCCCAGGGTTAAACGCCCCCCTCCTGTAATTCTCACATAAACCACTAAATGTCACCAACATTTTTTTCATCACTTTAACTGGATGCCACTAGTTTTGCTGAACTAAAATTGTCATCTGTCTCATCTCAACTTTTTAAATCACAAAAAAAAAGATTTTGAAGTACATTGATCTATTATTTTGTCATTTACAAAAAGTTCTATAGCTATATAATCAAATGAAGTTAGAGCTATACATTTGTTTTTATATACAACCCCCTTTCTAAAGTTTCTGTTTCTTATTTCCCTTTAAAAAATGTGTTTGCCTAAGGATAGCCAGTATACACATATCTAAATCTTACCAAACTTTGCTTTTTTCTGTCAGAAGAAACATTTCCCTTAAGGGGGGCGTTTCCTCCTAAGTTACCCTACATTCTTTGAAACATTTCTGTTAAATGGGCAATCTGAAGGTTCTAGGCACTACAATGCCCCTTTAAAACCTGAACATGCATTAATTTAATTGAGTTGTGGGAATAAGACACATCTGTTGATCTTCAGACAACTTCATTCTGAAAATGTCTGACTACATTGTGAAGATCGAGGGAACTGGTCCCGAGGAGTCCGTGGCGACCCCTGAGAAGTCCAGGTAGCTATCTTTAAAGCAGACAGACAAGACAGACTGACAGATCTAAAATAGATCTAGATAGATGCTCAACAACCACTGACAACCATTAAATAGACTCAACAACCACTTACGACCACTAAATAGACTCAACAACCAAATCTCAATGGTTAACTCAGACGTGCTGTGGCCCACAGGGACCCGTCTCCTGAGCCTGCTGTCCTGCCCGTGACAGATATGTCCTTCCTTGGAGCAATGGAAGACACGGTGAAAAATTACAATTGAAATTGTCGAAGAAATCTTGAGCATAATTGTTCTTCTTCTAATCTTCTGGTTCTAGTTAAAAGCATAAAACATTATATCAATCTATAATCTACAATAGGTTATCTAGTACCATTAGTCAAGCAAGCTACTAATCAATTGATTTTACACTCACAGAATGAGATGCCTAGCTCGCTGGAACAAGCGATGGACACTCAAACACAAGAAAATGGTGAACAAGTGGAAGCGACTGAAAGTCAGAGGAAGAGACTAAAGGTAACAATCATGCCTTCAAAAGCCAAGGGGACTCTCGTCAAAAGCCAAGGGGACTCTCGTCAAAAGCCAAGGGGACTCTCGTCAAAAGCCAAGGGGACTCTCGTCAAAAGCTTTTAAATCTTGCTCTTTAACTCAGTGTATTGCTGCATTTCATCATCTACTGCATCAACTCATTGTGCTATCAAATGTTATGATTGCTGCCTTGCTAAATGTTATGATTGCTGCCTTGCCAAATGTTATAATTGCTGCCTTGCTAAATGTTATGTTTGCTGCCTTGCTAAATGTTATGATTGCTGCCTTGCTAAATGAGTATATTTGACACGGCTTACAATTGTCTCCAAACAGGGAAACCTAGGTTTGTCCTCTGCTGGGTGCTCACTTGGATTTATGCCAAGCTTTGACTCAGGTCAGTGTTTAGTCTTTACTTGATTACTTTATTGTATCATTATGATAAGACCAGCAATGTCCAATGTGTAAGATAAGTGTCAGACATTTGATCTCCTGTATTTTCTCTAGTGTCCCTTACATCTACGGTAAACACGGGTAACAACTCAGGGGAGAGTCTTGAGCAGCTGCAGTACCAAGGGGTCCTGAGGATGGATACATGTGATGAGGTGGAGGTCAAGGTGCCAGTAGATAATGACACCCTGACGACCACAGTCGTTGACTGTGACTCCTCGACCACCCTGGACCAGATAGCCTCCTTGAGGACCTTTCAGGAGGAGAAGGACAGAGTGCTGGACATGGATACTGTGGATTGTCTCTCGAGAACAATTAGCTTTGAAAGCAGCCCAATTCCGGATAGGATTGGAAGCGCAGAGACATATAGCAGTGGTGTACGCTCGGCAACCCCCTACGCTTCAAAACCGTAAGTTCATTTCGTTTGATCAATCCTGTGACAGCCTATGCTTTTCTCATTCTTACTTTAATCTAAAATGTGAAAGTTGAAAACAAGTCCTAGTCCTAGATCAATGAAAGTGATCTGTATAAACCCAATGTTGTTGTTCATTGTCTATTGTAGATCCCTTACATCTATTGACGCACATTGGGCTGAAAACGAGGTGGAGGTCAAGGTGCTCGATATTGACTTCGCTTCATTCACCCTGGACCGGATTTCCTTCTCCAGTACTGTTCAGGAGGAGAATGACAGCGTGACGGACATGGACAAGGTGGATTGTCGCTCCCTGTCGAGAACAGTTCGCTTTGAAACCAGCCCAATTCCGGAGAGGAGTGGAAGCGTGAAGACGTATTGCAGTAGTGTACGGTCACCCACCCCCTACCAGTCAAGATTGTATGTTCATTTTGTTTGGCTACGTTATTCATTTCATTCTCATTATTGTAAGAGTTGAAAACAGGTCCTAAACACGTCTATGGCATCACTTATCTGATAGTCACACATTTTCACATTTGTGTTTTTTCACCTTTGTGTGTAAATTATTACTATTTTAATATTAATAGTACTATTCTTAGAATTTTTATTAATAGATTTTAGCTTGAAAATGTGTTTAGTTACTAAAAATGGTATTTATCCATTGTTTAACCCCTTTACACTCGTGGGAATTGGCCTATATGGATAGGGCGAAATTGAAATTTCTTACTGAAGAAATATGGAAAGCATATGCATAACCATGGTAACAATTCAAAGGGAACAGTTTTGAGATTATGGGGAAATTATTAGACTAAAGGTGACGACATAACAGTTCACCTGACACAAGACTGAATCCAAACATTATACTGTTGATATTATGTGCATTTTACATTTACTGTAGGCAACTTTTTGCTGCATTTGTTGATAAAGAAATCTTACATTCAGGAACATGATACGAATATTCTTAGAAAATTTGGGGTAGGTGCAACATAAGACAAAAAAAGGACAATGGTTCGAGTGAGCGGTCTAACTGGTGTTTCCAAGTGGCCACACACCTCTCCAAAGTGTGCTCAGTTCCTAAGTCATTTCAATGCACTTTTATGACTCAAAGAAGAGTCTTCAGCTATAAGGTGCTTTTTTGAGCTCTCCAAGGCTGTGCCGTTGAAGAACTAGACCAAGCACGCTTTTAGTTGTTTTGTTTGGAACACAGCCCTGCATCCCTGTCTTTACACAATTACTGTTGTTGTTTACGCAATCCAAAAAAACAGTTCATTTTAAATGGTACGCAGCAAACTTTCTTCACAATACAACAAACATTTGGAATGAAACTCTTTGTATGTTCCCAACGATGTTCTTCATTGTCAATTGCAGATCCCTTACCTCCACAGAGGCACATGATGATGTTGCACACAGCTCAGACAGCACACAAGCGAGCCTCCGAATCCTGATGGACCCTCTGGAGGAGCTTTTTGGTATCTCTCAGGATATGATATACACAGATGTCCAGGATAGAGTGATTGAAATGCTGCAGGACATCTACTCGGCGGCTAACCAACTAGAGCAACAGCTATTCCAGAGTGTCTCTGACAGGCAAGCCAGAGCCATTGTAAAGGCGGTAGTGCAGCAGATCAATGCTGCCCTGTCACAGGCTCTCCAACAAACCTGCTCGGGATCACAATTACTTACTATAGTGGGATCTGCCAAGCTCTATAGCAAAGATGGGTCGGCAGGGGTTGAGGGTCAAGGAGTTCCTTTGATCACCCCCTCAGCAGAGGGAGACATGGATAGCATCGAGGAAGGAAGTAGACCGTTGAAACATAGTTTTAACAGCTTCGTTCGTGTTTTGTCAGCAAAAATGAGGAGGATCTCCAAAGGGATCAAACAGAGCAGCAAGAGTGCACAACAAGAGCACAGGCTAGTTGTTGAACTGCCAGTATCATCTGACAAGGGTACAGAGCAAGAGGAAACTGGATCTAGTACAGTTTCAGTACCCTCTAGGGAGGAGATCACCGAGGTCAGTGAAGTTCTTCAGTCGGAATCTGATGATTCTCTACTTCCTACCATCGGGGCAATGCTGTTCCACGTTGGATCCATGCCTCATACAGAGGATTCAGTGGAGCTATACAGCAGGGTCCCATCAAAGTTGACACCAGAAAGTATGGTGCAGGAAGAACGTGTTGATGAAGGCTTGTCTAAGGCTTGTTCCAGGACAACTTCTTCAACCAGCACCACTTTAAGCATGGACGACATCCAGAAGACTGTTGCTACTATGACCACTTCTGGAAGTGACATGGGTAGAAGCATTATCACTACCCCAGAAATGCCAGAGCAGAGTCTGCACCACCAGGGAAGTGGACTGGACAGCCCTGTCTCCTCAGAGAGAAGAGTGGCTGAAAGTGGCAAAAACAGCCCTGCAACTTGGTCAGACACAGAGGGATTAAGTTCTGCAAAAAAGGCTGTTTCGGAGTTAATGGAGAGGATTGTGCTCAGCCGTGAGGATGCAGCGTCAGCAGAGAAAAGCCTGGATATCCTCCTCTCCTCTGGCATTCTCCGTCCTCACACTGACAAGTTAGTCGACCAGCTGCACAGCCTTTTGATGGTGAACAGCACACTTACAGCACAATCTCTGTCTGGCAGGTCAAAATCAGAATCTGCTCTGCCTAAGTCCAGAATGACAGGGGAACTCCAAAGGGAGATCTCAAGGAAGGGTTTGCTGGAGATAGCATATACTATCACCGAGAGATCTATAAAGACCCTTTTGGAGCAGTTGCTCACTGCCCTCCTCCCTCCTTCTGCAGTGGTTGAGGTTGCCAGGTCATGCCAGAACATCAGACCAGTCACTCCCTCTCAGGTGATGAGTTCTGAAGTTAGCCCAGGGTGCTGCAACCCTCTTTCAATGATTTGCCGTGTGATCATAGATGTCTTTACGATCACAAGACAGGTGGTTGAGACAGCCAGTGAAGTGGATATGTCTCCCCCCGGAAAATACATTGATGGAAGGCTTTGTAGCAACACAGCACCACTGCCCACTGATTCAACCCCACCTGTCCCCCCGACCAACCGCGAGACCGACAGATCTTTGGCTACCAAACCAACAAACAAAGTCAAGAGCTTGACATTCTCATTTCCTAAGCTTCCAAAGATCAGTCTCAAAAAGGTAAAACCCAGTCTTCATTATTTAGGGCAAGGCATTGAGATCAACTTGTACAGTAAATGTATTGGTATTTTGACTGCAATCAAAAATAAATGTTAAGCTTGTTTGACATTCTTCTTTGAATTCTTCTTTCCTCACATTTAAACCATCAGAGCAAGAAAGTCAACAAAGTGGATATCGCTCCCTTTGAGACCACCAAGGATCCTGTTGATGTCGACTATAATAGTATGTAGCTAATAGATTACTAACTTTGCTTTCAAAAGCATACAGGTAGTGCCGTGCATGATCAGTATTTGCTGTTATCTCTTTTCTAACACCACATCCTTTGTTCCACAGTATTCTGCACTACTCCAACACCAGAGAATGCACCACGACAAGAGGAAGATCTTGCCTCCTGCTCCTCACAGAGGAAGGAGAGGCCAAAGAACCAATTCTTTTTAATCAAGGTATACTCTGCCATGACTAGGCCTGACAACAGCAAGCATCAGTAGAAATGTCCTTTTGGTTATTTGGCAACACCACCAGAGGACCATCTTTTCTCCTACTCCACAATGAGGAAGGAGAGGCTCAAGAAGCATTCCTTTTCACTGCCATAACCAATCATTTCAACTCAGTCCTATTGACATCCCACTGGGCAAAAACTGGTTGAATCAACGTCGCTTCCACATCATTTCAACCCCCCCAAAGATCTATGTGATGACGTTGAATCAACGTGGAGAACTGATTGTATTTGCTACAAGTCATCAACGTAAGGGCATTTCCTCTTTTTTTCACCCAACTTTTAATCTAAATCCAATGACATGGTGACTTTTTTTTTTTACGTTGAAGTCCCATTAGTTGACAACTCAACCAAATGTAGATCAAAACTAGACGTTGAACTGACGTCTGTGCCCAGTGGTATTTGCTGTTGTCAGTCTTCTACACTGATTTCGCAGCTACATCAGAGGACCATCTTGCCTCCTACTCCCCAACAAGGAAGGAGAGGCCCAAGAATTGTTCCTTTTTTTTTAACCAGGCCTTTCAACTCTTTCAAAACTCATTTAAAAACTCTCCTTTCACCTATTAATCTCCTTCACGAAGCTTCCAAAGATATATCTCAACAAAAAGGTAAGTGGATCTCACTCCCCTTCCGACCATCCAGAGTGAGACCACCAAGGGTCCTGCTTATACCCTTCGGACCATCCAGGGTGAGACCACCAAGGATCCTCCAGATGCCCTTTTGACCATCCAGGGTGAAACCACCGAGGATCCTGCTGATGCCCCTCCAACCATCCAGAGTGAGTCCACCGAGGATCCTGCTGATGCCCTTCTGACCATCCAGAGTGAGACATAAAACATACAGGTAGTGCTGTGCATGATCAATATTTGTTATTATCTATTTTTTAACACCACATCCTCTTGTCTTGTTCACAGTGTTCTACACCACCACCAGAGGAAGAACTTGCGTCCTGCTCCCAAATGAGGCAGGCGAGGCCCATGAAACGTCCTTTCACTTCCTTCAATAATAAACTGCCCCTTCCTGCATTCATGAGTCTTTTAGTGAAATTTATATTTTTTAAAATTAGAGTGGAGAGATCGACAAACAAGAAAATTAATGGGCATTCAAAGTTCAAAATAAATCCTTCATGACATTCTGTGAGTCTCACTCCAGTGGTAGAGTTCAAACCAGACTATGTAGGGTAGAGTTCAAAACAGACTATGTAGGGTAGAGTTCAAAACTGACTATGTAGGCCTGGCTGCCAAGCCTGTAAATCCTATTCTAGTCTATTCTCCCCTTTGGACTCAAATATTGATAAAGTCCCTGGCAGTCAGGTTGATGTGTGACACAAATGGTCTGACAAGAATATTGGCTATGAGTAGTACACCACTGCAAACCATGAGGCAAGCTGACCATAAATAAATAGGACATTTATCAACATTGTTACCGTTTCAAAGGCTTTCCATAATATACTGTGATAGACTTCAGCCAGTAGGCCAGCCGCGTAGTCATCATTTGAATCACCGACACTTCTAGCCAGGGAACTGAGCTTGCTGAACTCCTCTTGTAGTTCATGCTTAATCATACCAGCTGCAGCTTTACTCAGGTAGTTCGCTTGTCTGGTGAAAGCAGATTTGGCTAAGGTCCGCTCTTGCTTCAGTTGCTTGACTGTTTTCCCAAAAGTTTCCTTGGCCATGGTGTAGAGTTTCACAGGCAATTCTTCCTTCGCGTCGACAGCTTGACTTCAGCCCTTTGATCCTCGTCCTCACTGCCGCGCTGGTTATCAACTGTCAAGTTCTGCGTGATTTCTGGCTGACCACTGCTCTGCCCAAACTTGAAAACGGCTTTATCCTTGATGAACGCAAAGGACAACTCAAAACTGTTCACTTTATGATTTTTTATTGTCATAAAGATGGAACAGAATAGCTTGATAACCTTCAAAACCACACAAACAAAAAACCATGGATTAGTTACAAATAACTCTCAATTCCACTTTCTCAAAAATAAGCATAAACTAATGTTACTGAATCCTCAAACCTAACCAAACAATCATTTCATCATTTAGATTAACCTAGGATCATTGCAAGTTAATAATTAAATATCAATATCATAATTAAACATTTAACAATACACATGATTATAGTAACGTTACTGTCAAGTTCTACGTTCACATAATGAAGTCTTCACTATTTAATTTAATTAATAATTGTATTGTATGTTACAACCAAACCAAAAGGGCATATAGAAGCATGAATTCACAACACATTCTGTCCTACCAGTTGCGTCTTTGGATGATCAGGAGCTGTGGTCATTGGTATCTCTTCTCAGGAATGAGTGAGAGCCAAGTAAGCTTTTACCAAACATTTCGATGCCATGCACATGCACTGCTTGTGGGTGCGCAGGTTAATATGGTCCCCAGTGCATGGTTGCCCCCTGCAGGTTGGGAGTGCTTTGAGCACCCTGGGTGGATTTAGGCTTGAGTGCTCGGTATAGCTTGTAGTCAGGAATTGACACAACAATTACTGATGGTGCAATCTTCTATCCACCCATTGGCTAATATACAGTAGCTAAATATATCATATAAACACACTCTAAAGCCTGTTTCCCATTAGAATGTGTCTCCTTGATCAGAGTCCAGTGGGAGTCATGGGACTGGAGCACGAAGTCTCAATGTGTTAGGGGAAATCAGGAGATATGTGTTAGCACTTAGCAGAGTGTAACACACACCCATCTCACTTTCTCGCATGTGTAATGCACTTGATCCATATTCAAGAGTTGATCAAATAGTCCAGGTAGTCGGTTCCACAGAATCTTTATATTGAATGTCTAACGGATGAAGCAACTTGTGATATAAACATAGGTATGTCGAATCTGGCACTCATAAATGGTGGCATATTGGAACCCTCAATTGAATGTCTCATCTGTAGATACTATCCCCTTATGTTGTTTCTTCCCTCCTCTTAAATTACCTTAAAAGTAATTGTATTTCTTTATGATTGGGGTAGCAATTATTAATTGTGTCAAAATGTTGCCGTGAGCAATTTGTTCTCTCATCAAATGTCTGCGATCAGTCTCATTTTGAAGGGAATTTCTTCAGCTATATAATAATAATAATATAATATGCCATTTAGCAGACGCTTTTATCCAAAGCGACTTACAGTCATGCGTGCATACATTTTTTGTGTATGGGTGGTCCCGGGGATCGAACCCACTACCTTGGCGTTACAAGCGCCGTGCTCTACCAGCTGAGCTACAGAGGACCATATGACTCATGAAATGTTGTTGTCAGCTACATGAATCAAAAGTAAACATGACCATTGACTTCATCTCTATGCATTCTACTTTTTATTATGCATTATCTTTAGTCATTCTGTATATTTATGAAAAACAATTTGCCAGGAGTATCAGAAACCAACACACAAACATAAAAAATAAAATTCATGGAGGCCGAGATGCAAAAATATTATTAATTTAAATCCATACTCAAAATAATGGAAATAGTGTCACGTTTGTATTATTTTGAGTATGGAATTAAATTAGAAATATTTGGCAATGCTTTGAATTGGGCAGCCTAAACGCGCCACCATTCGCGGCCTTTGCAGTTCAAGACCTCTTTGTACAACCAATCACATTTTAGACACCCTCTCGTCCAATCGGATGACGCGATGTTGGAGTGTGTAGTTGTGTTGTTTTTATTTAGGAAGTGAGCGAATCAGTGAACTGTCAAGCGGTAAAATATTTTTATGAACCTTTCCTTTTAAAAGAGCACCGCATATTTTCCAGAGTATCACAGTAGCTAACTAACAATAACCCTAGCAACCTGTTGATTGATGTAAGCAGGCTAACGTTAGCTAGCTAGCGTGTGCGAATGACAGCCACCAATGTTTAACAACGAGAAGGATCTTTTAATGTGGCCACTTTAACCTCTTAAGGATCGGACCCTTTTTTTCCCCAATTTTCGCCTAAAATGACATACCCAAATCTGACGCAGCGCAGCGGAGCTAGATTTTGTTTTTGCACCACCCTGTCACTCAATCATGAACTTTTTTTATTTTTATACAGGGATCATAAAACTGAGGGGGCTAAGCCCTTTGTTTCAGGACAAAAAGTTAATTTCTTTGCCACATTTTTTGAAGTTTTACTTTTGTGCCTTATTGCAAACAGGATGCATGTTTTGGAATATTTTTATTCTGTACAGGCTTCTTTCTTTTCACTCTGTCGTTTAGGTTAGTATTGCAGAGTAGCTACAATGTTGTTGATCCATCCTCAGTTTTCTCCTAACACAGCCATTAAACTCTGTAACTGTTTTAAAGTCACCATTGTTCTCATGGTGAAATCCCTGAGAGGTTTCCTTCCTCTCCGGCAAGTGAGCTAGGAAGGATGCCTATATCGTTGTAGTGACTGGCTGCATTGATACACCATCCAAAGTGTAATTAATAACTTCACCATGCTCCAAGGGATATTCAATGTCATTTTATTTATTTATTACCCATCTACCAATAGGTGCCCTTCTTTGCAAGGATTGGAAAACCTCCCTGGTCTTTGTGTTTGAAATTCACTGCTCAACTGAGGGACCTTACAGATAATTGTATGTGTGGGGAACTCAGATGAGGTAGTCATTCAAAAATCATGTTAAACACTATTATTGCACACAGAGTCCATGCAACTTATTATGTGAGTTGTTAAGCACATTTTTACTCCTGAACTTAACAAAGGTGTTGAATACTTATTGACTAAAGACATTTCAGCTTTTAATTTTTAATTCATTTGTAGAAAATTTGAAAAACAATTCCATTTGGACATTATGGGGCTGCATTGTGTTTAGGCCAGTGACACAAAATCTCAATTTAATAGATGTTTAATTCAGGCTGTAACACAACAAAATGTGGAAAAAGTCAATGGCTGAAGGCACTGTATGTAGTAGCTCAACAAAAGTTTTTTGTCACATACACCGTATGTGAAATATGTTGTTTTACAGGGTCAGAGGATCTTCCTCTTCCTTTACACCCATTCCCTCCCCCCCTCATCTTTCCATCTCCCTTCTCTTCCTCTCTCCCTCATCTTTCCGTCTCCCTTCTCTCCCTTATCTTTCTATCTCCCTTCTCCCCCTTCTCTCCCTCATCTTTCCATCTCCCTTCTCTTCCTCTCTCCCTCATCTTTCCATCTCCCTTCTCTCCCTCATCTTACCGTCTCCCTTCTCCCCCTTCTCTCCCTCATCTTTCCGTCTCCCCTTCTCTCCCTCTACACCCTTCACACCTCTCCCTTTCTCTCCCCCTTTTCTCTAGCTTTCACCTCATGCATATCAACTGCATGTAGTGTAGTCTACAAACCTCAGTCTTAACAGTTACTACTGTAACAGTCTTGAGCTTTGCATGGAATAAATCATATCAAATGTCTTACCATTATCATACATTAGGTCATTGATCAAGGATGTATAAAAGGATGTGCAGTATGGCAAGGAGAAATTACAGTAACATGTATGTTTGACATAAATACATAACATATTGCATATAACATGAGCGTTTATGATTACATGAACATGTTTGTTTCTGTGTGTCATGTGAGGCAGCTGGAGACAGCACTGTCCTGTAGAGATGAGCTGAGGTCCTACCTACAGCAGAATGGGAGCAGTACCAGAGACAGCTGGACGTCAAGAGCCAAGAGGTGTGTGTGTTTTTGCAGTGCTGCGTGTAGGTACCTCCCTGTTGCTTATACCGCATTGTGACTGTCTGACAGTCTCCGCTACCATGCTTGTGTGTGTTTGCTTGTGACTGTTTGTTTGTTTGTTTGTTTGTTTGTTTGTGTGTGTATCACTTTGTGTTTCTGTCTGTCTGTCTCTCTGTGTATGTGTGTGAGAACCAATGTCTGTGTGTGTGTGTGTAACCCCCTGTACCTCTCTACTCCGTCCCCAGCTGTCGTTGCTGCAGGAGGAGTTGCGTAGCAGCACTCTGGTGTGTAGTCACTCCAGTGAGCAGTGTCCAGCTCCAGTACTCCCTGCAGCAGCAGCAGAACATGTTACAGGAGAGCAGCACCTGCTGGCCGAGCTGGAGGACAGCCAGAGCCAGCTACAGGGAGAGGTAGAGAAACCTACTGGAGAGACTGAGGCAAGTACTCTACCTAGATGAGACTGAGGCAAGTACTCTACCTAGATGAGACTGAGGCAAGTACTCTACCTAGATGAGACTGAGGCAAGTACTCTACCTAGATGAGACTGAGGCAAGTACTATACCTAGATGAGACTGAGGCAAGTACTCTACCTAGATGAGACTGAGGCAAGTACTCTACCTAGAGGCGACTGAGGCAAGTACTCTACCTAGAGGAGACTGAGGCAAGTACTCTACCTAGAGGAGACTGAGGCAAGTACTCTACCTAGATGAGACTGAGGCAAGTACTCTACCTAGATGAGACTGAGGCAAGTACTCTACCTAGAGGAGACTGAGGCAAGTACTCTACCTAGATGAGACTGAGGCAAGTACTCTACCTAGATGAGACTGAGGCAAGTACTCTACCTAGATGAGAGCCGAAGAAAAATACTTTACCTAGATGAGAGACAAAGAAAGATATTCTACTTAGATGGGTGTAAATGTGTCCTATAGAGGGATGTCACAAATAACGATGTGTAGTGACAACTTGGTAAAACACATGTGCCATTGAGTCAGCTACAGGGAGGTAAACCTACTAGAGAGACTAAGACAAATAGTCTACCTATACGACAGGGATGAATATGTGTCTTACAGACAGGGAGAACCCTAACATTGCGTTGAGACCTAAGGTAAAACACACATTTTGAAATGGAGGTGCTACAGGGACAGGGAATCTTGATGGAGAGACCCAGGTTGAATCTCAATGGTCAATAGTCTTCATGTGTCTTCATGCAACTGAAAATACAGGATACAGCCTATTCTATTGACTTCAGTGTTAAAGTGCAAACCACTTCCAAGAAGACCCCCCTGAAAAGTAAAAGGAATTGCATAATATTCAATTCATTTTAGTCTTGACATAGAAGGGTTCTTTTTTCTCGTACTACACCAAGAACTTAGTACAAAGGACTCCATTGACCAAATCCAATCGAAATATGCACACTTGCAGGGAATAACATTTCTGTTTACAAAGCGCGGCTTGACAGGAGACATAAAAGCTGAACTTCCAAAGGCAACACGTTTTCTGTGTAAACTGTAATTGTAGGGTATCATCAAGTCTTCTTCATGTTAGTGGTTATTTTACAGTAATAGAAAGGAGTCATTCAAGCAATGAGGTCATTCCTTACGGGGAATTCCTTATCATGGGGAATTCCTTATCATGGAGAATTCCTTATCATGAGGAATTCCAAATTGACAGACATAGCTTTATCAGACATAATGGTCTTTGTGAGATGCAGAGCTGTGGGTCAATCCCAACACAATTCAGAAAATTATCCAGTGGCGACCCATCATTCAGGGCAGGTGGGGCAGAGCCCCACATTTTTAGCAAAATAAATAAATAAACAGGCTTGCCTGTTTTGCATGTTATTTTGGCATTAATACGTGTCACATATCAGTTTGCAAACAATGTAAAAAAATACAAAAATACAAAAAAAACATTGAGTTAATAAAGCTGCATACAAACATGGTCTCTTTTTTGCTTTCTTGAGTAAGGCAGCTCCAAAATGCAGCCTAGCTCAGTGCTTTCTGTGGTGGTGGGGCAGCCAACAGAAAATAGGGAGCGTAGGTGTTGGTAATGTTCTCTAGTTGCGCCATGATTAGCTCAGTGTTCTGTCACTCGTGGGGACAGTATGTCACCGCCAAGTCTAGAGAGGTAGAGCAAAAAAATTCAAGCCCCTTGGGTGCTGCCATAGAGTTACATTAGAAGTGCCCATCCAAGAAGGCTCAAGGTCATTGGCCACAGATAAAATGACATCAAATCACGTTATATCTACAGTAGCTTTGATTGGACTGATCATATCAACATCATGCTTTCAAAATCTTAGCTAGCAGTCATCATCATTAATCAAGTCGACAATCTACTGGCAAATCCTTTTTAATCCTTGTCATATGAAGGGAAATTATAGATAAAACCTATCGGTGCTCATTGGACATAAACATTACACAACAAGTTGGAAATCGTAAATTCACCAATGAGTGGTTTGGAAGGAATCAGTGACAGTGGCTAACTGCAAGCATTGCAAAGCAATCACTAGCCTGCTATTCAGTGGAGTGGCTGTGTGGTCCCAAATCTGGGATAAACATTCAACATTGGCCATGCTGTCAATGAAGCATGATTTGTGCTGTGCTCAAAACAACTTTTAACTTGGAACTGTGAAAATATGACTTCAGTGAGTTCAAGACAACTGGGAATTCAACTCGGAATTGTAAATCCGGAACTCTGCCTCTTTCTAGAGCTACAACCTGAAGATCAATGACGTCATCATGATTCAACCTTGTTTTTTTCAGAGTTCCCAGTTGTCTTGAAAGCACCAAAAATCCAGAGAATGCCAGACTTTGACAGAATTTGCCCACGAAGGACCGCCGCGCCACCTTCCTGTTCAAGTGAGCACATCACAACAAGGTGAGTCCAAAAATGTATTGTATGCTGCTGCATAAATTATATAATATGCCAGGGAGATATGTATACTGTAGCTGAGAAAGTAATACTAAGTGTATGTTGTGTAGTAAGCTGTTAATAGCCCATATGCCTCACCCTAATAATTTGGTCTATTTACCCCTCTTAATTTCGCCTACTGTTCTGACTTGATGGTGCACGATGGTGCACATGTAGCCTATAACCTCTTTTAGAGAAATGTAATCATCAAATATTGTAAGAGCTTTCATTGTCTGCTTATATGCCCCCTTTATTTATCCTACGGTTCTGACTTGGTGTACAGGGAGAATACTGTAAGAACGGCCCATGTTCTGAATTCTGTTGTTGTACATTTCAAAAGTGCTGAACAAATAGTTATATTGACTACGTCTGTCCTAGCTCGCTCATTAATGTCTTAATCGAAATTACGGATTGCCTCTTATCCGCTTGTCGTCCCCTTATGCCATAGTTTGTACATCTCAAATGTCATTAGAAACCACATTTGTTTAAGCATGTCAGCCATATCAGCTATGTTTTCTTTAAAGGCAGTAAATGAGGCTGAATGAACTGTTTCGCTGCCAGACAAGGCTCCGCTGATAGCCAGGTGTAGCAGTGGTAAGGTGTTGGGACTGCTGTTGGGACTGCTTTATGTAGGCCCTAACAGTTTGTGGGCACCGTTTGTCACCGTTATAGTGCAAGTAATGTATTGTTTTAGTGTTGCGTAGTGGGTTGCTGGCATGCACCCCATTTCTTATTCATAATGGTCTGCATTTGTTCAAACTTTAATGTTACGCCCACAGATTATCACAAATCATGTTTCGGTCCATAGTGAAATTCAAATCATATGAGTTTGAATGTAGCTCTGGTGACAGGGACTCTGGTCTAACTTGCTAATAGGGCCTTCTTTGTGTCTGTCTCATACTAGGCTAAAGACACTAATAACACTGTTTTCCTACTGGAAGCGGCACTAGAACAAGAGATCTACTTTTATGCAAGTCTTGTGCTTCTTGAAATCCCTCCGACTGACGCACATACTATCGCCTACGGAAATAAATATTTATCGTTGATTTATCTGTGTACTGTACTTTGCTTATCTGACTTGGACAGACATTCAGTTCAACATTTACAACCATAAACAAAACGAAGAATAAAACAATAACAAAAAACATTGGTTTCCATGACTACACAGGGATGAAAGCAACTTAATGTGAAGTAAAAACAGTTGTATTACAGTATTTGTAGCCTATGTTTAGTATTGTGCTTAAACAAACACATTATTAGTAATTTAACATGAATATGTGATATTAATATATAAAATTAATGAGATTTGTGGAATGGAGGTCGTCCTCAGGTGGAATTATGTTTTTTAAAATTTTGAGTAAATATGTATTCAACCCCTTTGTTATGGCAAGTGAGTAAGAAACTCATTAATGAGTTGTATTCGAATTTGCCCCAAACGTAACACTTTGTATTCAGGTCAAAAAGTTAATTGCTCAGCTTTTCATTTTTTAAATTAATTTGTACAAATAAAATAAAACATAATTCCACTTTGACATTATGGGGTATTGTGTGTAGGCCAGTGACAAGAAATCTCAAAATAATATATTTTAAATTCAGGCTCTAACAACAAAATGTCTAAAAAGTCAAGGGGTGTCAATACTTTCTGAAGGCACTAGAGAAACCATCAGATAAGACCTCATAAAATCCTTTCTGTTTGTAGACTCCAACTGTTCACTGTTGTATAATGGGAGTCATTTGAGTTCAGTCCAGATAGAGCAGCTCCTGCCCTGTAACAAAGAGAGGGAGAGAGCTAGATAAAGAGGGAGAGAGCTAGATAGATAGATAGATAGATAGACAGACAGAGGGGGAGAGACAGAGGGGGAGAGACAGAGGTAGAGGGAGATATATATTCTTATACCCTGAGGAGCTGACAGAATGAGACAGCCCCATGACTCTAGAGCCTCCACAACCAGGGGGCTTATTGTGTGTCCCATCTCCGCCCCTAACCCCTCACGCCCCATCTCCGCCCCTAACCCCTCACGCCCCATCTCCGCCCCTAACCCCTCACGCCCCATCTCGTCCCCCCACGCCCCATCTCCGCCCCTAACCCCTCACGCCCCATCTCCGCCCCTAACCCCTCACGCCCCATCTCCGCCCCTAACCCCTCACGCCCCATCTCCGCCCCTAACCCCTCACGCCCCATCTCGTCCCCCCACGCCCCATCTCCGCCCCTAACCCCTCACGCCCCATCTCCGCCCCTAACCCCTCACGCCCCATCTCCGCCCCTAACCCCTCACGCCCCATCTCGTCCCCCCACGCCCCATCTCCGCCCCTAACCCCCCACGCCCCATCTCCGCCCCTAACCCCTCACGCCCCATCTCGTCCCCCCACGCCCCATCTCCGCCCCTAACCCCCCACGCCCCATCTCGTCCCCCCACGCCCCATCTCGTCCCCCCACGCCCCATCTCGTCCCCCCACGCCCCATCTCGTCCCCCCACGCCCCATCTCGTCCCCCCACGCCCCATCTCTCATGGAGTATATATACAGCGCTCTGCTCTCTGAAGCATCCTTTTAAGGAAGAGTGAGTTTTCGGCTCTTAGGGTGGAGTTTAATAGCGGAGCACTTTGCTTCTTCTATTTAGTCTATACTTAGGGAAGATAGATGCTCAGATTTCGAACACTTGTCAGTTAGTACTTAAGTTACTCAGTTAGTACTCTAGTTCAAGTTACTCAGTTAGTACTTTGTCCTACAGAGCCTGAGTTTTTTTGTGAGTAGTGCAGTAGTCTAGGTCGCTGAGAAGTCGAATGCGAGCATTCCTAATGGGGGCACAGTTGTGCACAGTTAGGTGGGCGCCAGATGGAGGGTGTCTAGAATGTGTGTGAGTTCACGGTGTGATCTCTGCATGTCTGTGACACTGTATTTTATTTTATCTGTGTGAGGATACTTGTATCCTTACTAATGTGTTTGTGTGTATTCCAGTCAGCTGTCATCTGAGATAAATAAGTGTCTTGGGGAGCTGTCATCCATGGAGCAAGAGCTGCAGAGGCTGCGGAGGGATGCCAGCATGAAGTCCTCCCAGCTCAGCCGCGTGGAGGAGATCGTGCAGAAGACCCAGGGCTTACTGGAGGAGAAGAACGACACGGGTAGGACACGGGGGGGTTATTTTAGATTCTTCCTTTCTTTTGTTCTTTTTTTCTTCCTTCAGTCATTTCTTCATTCCTTCAGTCATTTCTTAATTCCTTCAGTCATTTCTTAATTCCTTCAGTCATTTCTTCATTCATTAAAAGTTACGACCTATTTTCTTTAGGTTTCTGTGATTCTAGAACTGAACTGAACATAGAACGTTCTTTGTGGAAACCCCCTCCGCAGTTGTGGACTTGGAGGAGAAGCTCCACTGCTGTGAGGAGAACAGGCGGAACTCTGCGCAGCGGGCGCAGGCTCTGGAGGGACAGCTACAGGAGGTGCGCGATGAAATGCACGACACCCTAAAGAACCTACAGGAGCTGAGAGACCTGTTACAGCGCACGCAGCTCAGCGCAGATGAACGACAGATCTCACTGGAGAAACTGTCCGCCGAGCTCAGGTGAGCCTCTCTCTGTCAACTGCCCGACACACACAGACACACAGCCTTGACCGGTAGTCTCCATTTGTTGCTTCATTGAACAAGACAGGTCTCCCCTCAAACCTTTAGGAAATGCTTCTTAAACCAAATCAACTCCAAACACACAAATAAAAGTCCCCCTCCCCAAGTACGGTCAGTGGAAAATGTCATAAAATGCTATTTCATTCCACGTTTCATTGAAGAAGCGCTGCCAGCACACCGGAAGTCCCACGTGCTTTCTATGGGCAGTGTAACCATGGCAACCGCTGACCTGTCGAGAGCTGTGGGTTTGTGTCTGCGACCTCGTTGACCGGGCGATTTGGGAAGACTGAATCCAAAGTCATATGTTTTGATTTTGTTATAACACAATGAAGACATTCTTTGGTCAGATTTTTAAAACCATTGATTTTGGATTACCTTGTTTGTCTTTAACTGTGACGTTATACTATATATGAAAGGAAATATTATACAGTATGTGTAATATACAGTTATGTGAAAAAGTATTTGGCCCCTTTCTAATTTTCTCTACTTTTGCATATTTTTGATATTGAATGTTATCAGATCTTCAACCAAAACCTAATATTAGATAAAGGGAAACAGAGTGAACAAATAACACAGCAATTACAAAGTTATGTAACACCCAATTCCCCTGTGTGAAAATGTGGCATAATGGGACCCATGTCGTCCAAAAAGTTATACATTGACTCATCTGTCCATAGAACATTCTTCCAAGAGTCTTGATGATCATCCAGGTGCTTCCAGGTGCTTTTTGGCAAACTTGAGTCAACTCTTTGGACGACATGGGTCCGATTATGCCTGGCATTCCACAGTAAGAACCTCATACCAACGGTCAAGGATGGTGGTGGTAGTGTGATGGTTTGGGGATGCTTTGCATGCAAGAGTGGGCCAAAATTGTGTGAGAGACTGATCAACAACTACAGGAAGCATTTGGTTGCAGTCATTGCAGCTGAAGGTAGCACAACCAGTTTTTGAGTGTAAGGGGTCAATTACTTTTTCACACAGGGGAATTGGGTGAAATAAATAAAATAAGTATCAATTTTTTTTGTTATTTGTAAACTCAGCTTCCCTTTATCTAATATTAGGTTTTGGTTGAAGATCTGATAACATTCAGTATCAAAAATATGCAAAAATAGAGAAAATCAGAAAGGGGGCAAACACTTTTTAACGGCACTGTACGTATATACTTTTTAAAAAGTAAATTTGTACTGTGCATAATTTATTTGTTGTGAATTAGGTGCAATGTTGAAAACGTAACTCCTCTTTGCACTGAATCCTGACATGTGAGCTCATCGTCAAGTGAAAGACTGTTTCAAGAGGATAGGCTAACTGTGTATTACTACACAGTGGCAGGCTGAGTTGGTCTCTGTCATTCATAATATGTATCATGCTATTTTTTATTTTGTTCTATATTTCATAATGCATTGTTTTTGTAATGATTAAATTGTGTATTCTTTTGAGGCTTTGTCGTAAGTGCGGTGAACAAACAGCAGTTGCTTTGGACACACGGATATCAAGCACCCACGGGAATCATAAAATGAGTCATAAATAATTTGATAGACATGATCTCTTTGTGTAAATAGAGACACACAGAACAGTATATGACATTTTACATCCTGTTCTCCATTCCAAATACAATATCACTCTTGTCTATCTGGTATGGAGTTAATGGCCTCTGTCTGATATCAACCAGCCAGTTCATCTTTGGTAAACGTCTTTGTCAAATACACAGTTGTCCCCCAGCCAACATGCCCCCAGCCAACATGCCCCCAGCCAACATGACTTGACAAGTTGACAGTGTCAAAAACTGTCCAAGGACAAGCTCTAACCGGGTGTATATAATGGGGATTATTGTGAAGCTTTGACAGGTATACATGTGGATCGTCTCTCATTTAAACATAATGACAACTACAGTAACACCTGATGAAGATCTGTAAATCCTATTGAACAGCTACAGTGCTGTAACTCCTCCCCTCCGGCACAGATGCAATAGTATTGAAGTAAAAATAAAGGCATCAAAAAGACTACGTACTGTAACTGAGCACAGGGTGTCTGTGGGGATCAGTTTGTCAAGGTGAGGCGCAGCATCACTAATCTTGGTCACACACTGATTCATCTCTCGTGGACAGAACTACTTAAACTAAACATGAACACCTGACCAAATTATGTGAGATTTTTGTTATGGGTTAACTGAGATTACACACTGAGTAGTATTTAGGATGAAAGGTGATTTGTAGATCAGTGATTCAGACTGCAATGCAGTTAATCTCAAACACGCACAATATGTCTGCATTACAGTCGCAAGTAGTTTTCCTTTGATTCCCTTGTGTGTGAAACAAAACGCCCTCTACACAGATGTGATCGGATGTTGAGATCTTCTGGTTGAAATAGAATATGCCCCTGGTGTACAGTGATTTCACAGCCCAAATATGTATGAAAATTGAGTGGGGGGTGTGTGATTTCACAGTTGTGTCTGTGCTTCTGGGTGGGTTTCCTGGCTCCACACAACATGATTTCAGATCCAGTGTGTGTTCATGTTGGTGTTTGTAGATTTCCTAGCCCTGTGTAACGCGATTTCATTGTGTGTATGTGCGCGTGTGTGTGTGTGTGTGTGTGTGTGTGTGTTCGTGTGCGTGTCTGTGTTTACAGGGAGAGCCAGAGGGAGTTGGAGGAGAGGAACCATGAGGTGTTAGACATGGACACAGCACTGAGGGAGAGACATGGGGAGCTCCAACAGAGAGTACAGCTGCTACACACACACAAATACTAAACTGAGGCAACATTTAATTGCGTGGCGCGATATAGTGTATTTAATTTGAACGGTCAAAGTCTTAATGGATGGAATGGTAAGAAATAAGAGCCTTCTCTCTCTGTGTGTCTCCCTCCTCTTCCTCAGCTGGGCCAGTTGGACGTGGTCATCAGAGACCATAAGCTGGAGATAGACAAGAAGGGTCAGTCCTTACAGCAGACTGGACCAGAGAGAGATGTCAAAGACTGAGACAAACATCCATTCACTCATTTGGGGTCGTTGTTGCTCCTGGAAAGTATATTCTTGTTACAAGTACTGTCCATTCTGGTATAGTGATAAACGTGAAGGGCTGTTGTTGACGATTCCCCCATGTTTTGTCTCCACAGGTGGAGTTTCTGAGTGAGAGGTTAGACCTGCTAAAAGCACAATGACAAGGGAAGGAGGATTCTTAGAAAGATATGGTGGGATGGTGGGATGAATGGATAGATTGATAGAGCGAGAGATGAGTTATGTTATTATTATACTGATGGATGGTTGCAAGGTGGGTTGTTTACCTGAAGTATTGCTCTGACAAAACACCACCAGTAACATCATTTCATGGTGTTCAGTCTTCAGTTACCTTTCAGATATCCGATTGACCATCTAGGAGTAGGCACCCTCTAATTGACCTTTGACATTTTGCTCCAGGACTCTGCATCAGGGCCAGCACCTGTGTGTGTGTCGGGGGCAGCTGGAGAGAACAGCGTAAGAACTCCAGAGGATGACTCAGGAGCTGCAGGACACTCACTCGCTGTGAGAGCCTAAGCAGACAGATGGACAGCATCACCCAACATGTCAAGGAGAAGGTGAAACCTTCATTCTGTTGCTGTTTATAAAAGGACGTACCAAATGAATCCATGTATTCTTTCTGTGTTGTATCCATAACAACAAAGTGTAGTATTTCTGTCAATTCTACTATGGCTAGAAGACGACCTGTGTGTTGTCTCCTGTAGGAGGTGCAGGAGAGAAGTCTGGAGGAGGAGCTGTCTGCCAGGGAGGTGCGCTGGGTCCAGGGAGAGGCCAGACTGTCTCCTCCCTGCAGCAGGAGCTGGACCAGGTGAGAGAACGGCACAACAAGGAGGTACAACTGGGCCCAAGAACGGCTGATGTCTCTGTAGTGTCTGTCAGTCGTTCTGTCTCTCTCTCTTTGTTTCAGTCAGTCTCTGTTGCTGTCTCTGTCTGTCTCCGTCTCTCTTTCTCTCTCTGTTGCTGTCTCTGTCTGTCTCCGTCTCTCTTTCTCTCTCTATTGCTGTCTCTCTGTCTCGCTCTCTTTTGTTTTCTTTCTTTGTCTGTCTGTCAGTCAGTCAGCATGTCTCTCACACACAGTCACTATCTTCGTCTTTCTCCTCAGTTCCCTCTGTCTCTCTCAATCTCTACTGAATATATCACCTAATCTCTGCTCTTGGATCAATCTCTTCCCCAGTTCCTCTTTCACTTTGTTGTTTCTCTTTTTTTCCCTAATCACCTCTTCACTTTATTTCCGTAATCACCACTTCTCTTGATTCTTAAAAGTCTAAGACATTGTGGTGGGGGGGGGGGTTCTAAGCTGACAAATTGAATTGTTTTAAGATGGTCATACTATGGATAATTTAGCTATTTGATTTGGAATTTTAGGACCCCTTTAGGTATAAAACAATATATTTAAAAAACATTTGATAAAATATTGAATTTGGCCTTTACTACTATAACCTAGAGAAACACATTGAATAACACATTCATAAATGGCAAAAAAGACAATCAAAAAATAAATCATAGCAAACAAGGTTTTGAAATGTCTGGAGATATAAGGCAGCTCAGGATATATATATGTCCCCAGCACAAGGTGCACCTGTGTAATGATCATGCTGTTTAATCAGCTTCTTAATATACCACACCTGTCAGGTGGATGGATTATCTTGGCAAAGGAGAAATGCTCACTAACAGGGATGTAAAGATATTTGTGCACAAGAAGAATTAAGAATTAAGCATTTTGTGCATATGGAACATTTCTGGGCAACAATTTTCTCTGTCACACACTCAGTCACAACACACGTGCCTGGCTGCAAAAGTGCTTTGTGAGTGACGTCAGCAGCAGGTGTGTTGGGGTAGTATAGTAGGTATGTTGGGGGGTAGTATAGTAGGTATGTTGGGGGTAGTATAGTAGGTATGTTGGGGTAGTATAGTAAGTATGTTGGGGGTAGTATAGTAGGTATATTGGGGTAGTATAGTAGGTATGTTGAGGGGTAGTAGAGTAGGTATGTTGGGGGGTAGTATAGTAGGTATGTTGGGGGTGTAGTATAGTAGGTATGTTGGGGGGTAGTATAGTAGGTATGTTGTGGGGTACTATAGTATGTTGGGGTAGTATAGTAGGTATGTTGGGGGGTAGTATAGTAGGTATGGTGCGGGGTAGTATAGTAGGTGTGGTGGGTAGTATAGTCGATATGTTGGGTAGTATAGTCGGTATGTTGGGGGTAGTGTAGTA